GGTTTCCCAGCAGCTGCCGGGGCCAGCGAGGATACTGAGAATAAATGCGGGGAGCGGAGCTGGGCCAGAATTCCCTTCTCACACCTTTGTCAATTAACCTTTAATTTACAGGGTCGAGCGGGTCCTTCATTAACGAGCTTTGGGCTAATTAAAGCATCCTCATTAAACTATACGTTAATTGTCCCTTCCCCCCCCAAAGGCCTCCACCGAGATGGGTTAGAGTTGTGGGAGGAACAAAGACAGGCGGATTTGTGTGCAAACCTAGGCTATGTGTCAGGGGGCTGTTGCCTCCCCGCCCCCCCGCCTCAGTTTCCCTCCAGCCTCATTTGTGCAAGGGGATTGGGAGATGTTGCTTAAGTGGGCTGTGGTAATTAGGAAAGAGAATATGTATAAGGTGCTGAGCTCTGGCATGACTAGAGATGGGACCCAGAGCCTTGGCACGGAGCTATGTCCACAGCCCTTTTTTTATTTTTTGAGACAGGGTTTTGGGCGGGGTTCAAACTTGTGGTCCTTTTGCCTCAGCCTCCCAGAGTGCTGGGATTACAGGTGTGTGCCACCACATGTGGCCCAAAACTTGCTAATGGTCTTTGTCACTTTCTTTAGCTATCTACCTGTCTATCAACAGGGTCTCACTATGAGACCGGGCTGGCCTTGAACTTGCAGCAATCCTCCTGCCTCAGCCTCCCAAGTTCTGGGATTACAGGCATGCACCACCATGCCCAGATAGTTTCTAGGTTTTGTTTTGGTTTTGGTACTGGGAATCAAACTCAGGACCTTGCACTTGCAAGGCAGGTGCAGTGCCACTGAGCTAAATCCCTGGCTGTAGTGTTTTTGGTTTTGGTTTTTTTTATTCATTAAGTTTATTGGTATATTTTAGTTTTAGACTCTGGCCAAATTATTCCATCTCCTTGTTCCTCAGTTTCCTCATCTGCAAGACAGGACTAACAGATACTTCCTCAAATGTTAAGAGGAATAAAATTATCCAAATAATAATTGGATGGACAGCATCTAACATATAGACAATGGTGACTGCAATGATTATTAATAGCATTAGTTGAATAAATCACAGGTCACGTATTCCCAAAGGCATGGTGTATAAGGAGAAGGCCAAACAAAGGGTTGAGTGAATTGTTCATTGAAAGAAAGTAAGCCGGGTATGGTGGTGCGTACTTATAATCCCAGATACTCAGGAGGCTGAGGCAGGAGGATCACAAGTTCAAGGTCAGCCTGGACAACTTAGGGAGATCCTGTCTCAAAATCAAGCTTTCTTAAAAAGAGGTGGTGGTCGTGTAGCTCAGCACTAGAATGCTTGCCTAGCAGGTGGGAGGCCTGGTATCAATACTCAGTATCACAAAAGAAAAAGAAAAAAGAAAGTGAGATTTTAGTGTAGATGGCCTGAAAAGGGAGGGTAGGCAAGGACAGATGTCAGGGAAGAAAAGGAAGGGGGAGGTGGCAGAATAGTAAGAAATCTAGACTTAGGGACAGCACATTTCCAGTTATGCATTTACAGTGCTGGGGACTTCTGAGGACAAAGATGTTCACATTAATTTTTTTTTTTAGTACTGGGGATCAAACTCAGGGCCTTGTGCTGTGAGGCAGGTGCATTGCCACTGAGCTAAATCCTTGGCCCTATATTAAATTGTAATTTGTTCATTTTCCACAGTGGAGACTCCTGGTCCTCACACAGGCTTCCATGTCAACCTTCAGTGAAAGTTGGGTTCACTCACTGTGTTAGTATTATCGATGACAGCTGCTGTAACAAACAGCCCCCAAAACCCTCAGTGTCATAAAACAATCAAGTCTTTTCTTGTTCATATCACTGCCTGATGGGGGTCTCCGAGCAGTTACTCAGAGAACCAAGCCCTTTTCAAATTCCACATGCAGTTGGCTCTCATTATCCACAGATTCCACATTATAGATTCAACCAACCATAGACTGAAAATATTTGGGAAAATTTTGCATCTATTCTAAACATGCACAGAATTTTTTTCTTGTCGCTACTCCCTATAAATACAGCATAGCAAGTATGTATAAAACATTTATATTGCCCTAGGTATTACAGGTCAGGCTGGCCTTGAGCTCATTATTTAGATCATGTTGGCCTCAAACTTGTGGTGATCCTCCTGCCTCAGTCTCCTGAGTGCTGGGATGATGGGTGTGCGCCACTCCACCATGCTGAGAATTTCTTTATTTTTGCAGTTCTGGGGGATGGAATCCAGGGCTTCCTGCATGCTAGGAAAGTGCTCTACTGAGCTCCTCTGTAGCCCAAGACAAGACTGAAGTCTGCAGGAGGATGTGTGTAGATTCTACGCAAATACTGTTGTTTTATATAAGAGATGTGGGCCTCCATGGATTTTAGCATGGTTGGGAAGAGGGGTCCACAGATCCTGAGGAGTGACTGGAACACCGCTATCTTGTACATATGGCCTCCATGGTTACCTTTTATAAAGTCAGGAAATAGGGCAGAGGATGGCATAGGAGATTTTCTAACCACTCACATCTATTGGCTAAGACCCAATCATATGGCCCCAACCTAACTAACTCCAAAGAAAGCAGGGAAACATTTTCAGTTGTATATGCCCAGGGAGAGGAAAACAGCAAATAGCATTAGCATTACCACATGCATTTTATTGATCTCTTTATTTATGGTGCTGGGGATCAAACCCCGGGCTTCATGAAAGATAGGCTCACCACTGAGCTACTCCCCAGACCTTCCATATGCGTTCTTGAGGTCAAGATGTTTGCAGGAGGAGCTAAAGGACAACAGTGTCTTTATGAGGTGTGATAAAAAATACACTAACTCTGCTGCCAAGTGCCATCCAATGGAAAAACAGCTCATAAAAACATGACTGTGTGTTCTCATCCACTTTATTCATGGGATCTGGCACCGAGTGACTTCTGGCTCTTCCCCAACTCAAAATGACCATGAAAGATAAACGTTTTGAATCTATTCAGGACATTGAGGCAGTCAAGACGGTGCAAGAAAAGACATTCATGAAAGAGGACTCTGGAACTGCTCCAGAAAGTGGCAGGAATGATGGATAAGTGTATATGAAGTGAGGGAAAGGATTTTAATGGGGGGATTCATGACAAATGTGTCTTCTACTGTCACACTTTTAAAAAATTTGAACATTCACCATATTCTTCGACACCAATGTGTATATCTACTTATTTGTGTATTGTGTTTCCCTCATGAGTCCTGAAGGTAGACACCACATAGTTCTTCATCCACTATGGTCTTTATTCTCAGTTCTTGGCACTGATTAGACACTCAATAGAACTGAATGAATGAATGAACAAGTCCATGAATGATGGAATGAAGGGATGAACTAATCAAGTAGCCTCTGGATACCACTAGTCTTCCCATGTCAGGACTCAACACCATTGACTGAATGAATGAGGAAACCCAGGACAAGTATTCCGATGGTCAGGGAAACTGGTGGGAGGAAGAGTAGGGTAAGCAAGCCCTGGGTTTTGTTTGCTTATTTGTTTGACAGGGTCTCACTATGTAATTCGGGCTGGCCTTGAACTTACTGTGTAGCCCAGCCTGGCCTTGAACTCATGGTGATCCTCCTGCCTCAGCCTCCCGAGTGCTGGGATGCCAGGTGTGCACCGACACACCTGGCAAGCTCTGGGTCTCGGGGAGAAACCCTCGTCTGAAATCTCTACCCACCCAATTCCACCTTCCCCAACACACCCCAGTCCTCTGTCACTCCTGACTGAATCCAACAACATCCACTGTCTACCCCCCAATAGTGGATAAATAAAACATGGTGTAGCCATATAATGGAAGCCTGATGGACAATAAAAAGGAAAGAAGTATCTGGGCATGATGGTGCACACCTGCAATCCCAGCACTGTGGGAGACTGAGGCAGGAGGATCACAAGTTCAAATCCAGCCTGGGCAATTCAGAGACTCAGTGAGACCTTGTCTTAGAATAAAAAGGTCTGGGGATGGAGCTCAGTGGGTTCAATATCCAGGACTGAGGGGAGAAAAAGGAATTAAATACCGATGAAATATGGATGCACGCCACAAAATGAACCAAGTGAAAGGAGCAATAAAAAAGGCCAGGTGTTATCTGATTTCTCTTACAAAAGCTCTAAGGAGACACAGCTGTAAGAGACAGGAAATAGTTGAGTGGTCGCACAGGGCTGGGGGTTGGGAAGAAATGAGCAGCAACTGCTAATGGCTATGGGATTTCTTTGGGGGATGATGAAATCAGTCGAAGACTGTGGTGATGGTTACACAAGTTAGAATACACTAAACCCCCTTTAATTATATACTGCAAATGGGTGGATGGTATGGTATGTGAATTATATCTTAATAAACCTGCTATTAAAATTTCAGCACAACATCTAACCCTCAATTCAGGTTACCCCAATTCCAACCTCATCTTAACTGATGCTCTACTAACTCTACAATTGCCAATGCCACCCTCACCACAAAACCCCACTTCTCAAATCCACCCCAATGTAATTCAGTCCAAGAGCCAACTCCAAACTCTGTGGGGTTTTGTGTGTGTGTGTGTGTGTGGTACTGAGGATTGAACTCGGGGCCTTTGCACTCAGCTAAATCCTCAGCCCTCTATTTTTTATTTTGAGACAGGGTCTCACCAAGTTGCTGAGTTTCCCAAGATAGGCTCAAACTTTGGATCTTCCTGCCTCTGTCTCCCAGAGTACTGGGTGTGTGCCATCATGCCTGCCTTCATGGTTACCTCTTGATCCAGTTACCTCTTGATTCAGCTCAGCCCAAGCCAGCCACAGATTCCTGGACTAATCAAAGACAATATGGAATCTGGGCATGGTAATCTCAGCACTGTAATCTCAGCATTTTGAGAGACTGAGGCAGGAGGATCTCAAATTCAACCCCAGCTTGGGCAACTTAGTGAATTAGTGAGACCCTGCCTCAAAATAAACAAGGGCTGAGGATGTAGCTCAGTGCAAAGGTCCTGGGTTCAATCCCAAGTCCTGCAAAGAATTAAAAAAGACAGAGACAGGAACACAGTTCACTGGTTTATTCTCAGACTTGAGAAGCCAATTTTGCACTATGGTCTGGGGAATGGGGGAGAAATGGGGTCAAAGGGGGTGCTGGAATCTCTCTCATCCTATCATCCTATCCCAGCCTTCCCGAAGGAGGAAGCAGATTAAATACACAACAGAGGGGATTTTTCCCTTTCATACAGACCCAGGGATAAATAGGGCAGCACCATTAGGATCCTGATTCAACACCACCCTCTCGGTCCCAACACCTGGCAGAGCAAGGCGAGCTCGGGAGACGGGGGTGGGTAGGGGCCGGGGGTGCAGAGTCCGACTCAGTCCCTTCACCGAGATCCCATCTGGGAATGGGGTGAGCAGGGGTCCCAGCTTGGCGCCAGTGGACATCCAGTGCTTAACTATGGGGGACAGGGTAGCACCGAAGGGCACGAGTGGAGGGCGGGGCACGGGGCATCCATTGGCTCGGGGTTAGAAGCTCATTGCATGGGGGCTCCGGGGTGGGGACAGGAGCTCTGACAGAGGGTCGGGGACAGAAAGAGCCAGACTGCAGCGACGCTACCCAGAGCTGGGCCCTCAGGCCAGTGTGGGGGGTCCATCTCCTGCCACCCCCTCAGAAGTGACAAGGCACACGTGTGACTGTGACAAGCAGAGTCCCATCGCCTGGCTCTAGAGTCCCAGGAGATGATAAATAGGTGGCTTCGAGCCTCAGCACCAAATACGCCCCGCATGGGGCTCCTTCACGCCCTCCCACCCCTAGGCGCTCAGCTGCTGAAGCAGACAGGGCCCAGTTCAAACCCAAACTTCTGGTTTGCCTGGCCGAAGTCCATGGCTGCCACATCCAGCAGGGGCAGAAAGCCCGGCCAGGAAGAGCGAAGTTGCAGGACAGTCTTCGCCTGTCCCTTTCGAAACTGGGAGGGGACACGGATAGGGAGTCAGAGGGCGGGCGGCAGGGACCCCCTTCCCCACCCCAGCCAGTGCCCACCCCACCTCCTTACCCGACAGCCATCGTAGGGGACCTCAACGGTGGCCGCCACTGTCTGGTTGACAGACACCTCCTCGCCATTGGTCCCCAGGAAGCGGACGGAGCGGCCGTGGTTGCCTGCAGCTTCATCCAGCCACGCGGCTGAGTTCTGGCAGGAGAAGGTGAAGCGCTGCTCGGCCGTGGCACTCAGCAGTTTCAGGAAGTTCAGCTGAACCACGTTCACTGGGGCCCCGTCGGCATCCACGTAGAAGAACTGGGGTGCACCCAGGGTAGGGGAGATGAAGGCGCACCTTCAGCCCCTCCTCTCTGCTTCCCCAGGACTGAGCTCCCCCCAGCCCTTTTTTGGGGCAGGGTCTCACTAAGTTCCCTAGGCTGGCCTGGAACTTGTGATCCTCCTGCCTCTGCCTCCCGAGTGCCAGGATGACAGGCGTGCACCCCCATACCCGGTTCCCTCATGTCATTTTATAGTTTAGTGTGTTTTCCCGTGAGGCTGTGAGCTGTGTGGAGTCGGAAACAGTGTTTCATTTGCTGCTACTGTCATCTATGTTACACGGACAAATCCTAAACTCAACCGAAGAGCCCTCAAACTCGCTCCCATCATTACACAGCTCGGAGAAGAGGCAGGCCAGACACAAGACTCCAGGCCAGGGGCCCCAGCTCCTCTCCCCTTCCATCCAATGCACTGTCAAGCCCTGTGGACTTGAACTCAGATCTTGTTCCCAGCCATGCCTTCTTTGAATTCCCACGGCCCAGAGGCTCCCCTTGTTCTCCGGCACCCATGCACCCACCTTCTCCTGGCTCTCCGGCCTCCAGTCCACACCCACGTTTTTCTAACACACAGGTTGGACCTGGGTCCCACCTCACTCAAGCACATTCCACGGGTCCCTACTGCCCACCGTCCTATCTTGGCCTAGCCCTCTGCCACCTCTTCCTCCTCCTCCCCTCCACACACTCCTCCACACTCTCTACAGCACAGCAACCACCAGGCGCTCTCTGGACTCGGAGCCTCTGCACGTGCCTCTGCTTGGAACACTTGTGCCCGTCCTCCCTACCATGCCAACCCAACTCATTCTTTAGGCTTCCAGTGAGCTATGGGCTCTACCAAGAAGCCTCCAGGCCCTGCCTCTGGATTCCCACCATGCCTGACCTCCCCTGCCACTCGGTCCCCTCCTGCGTGCGATCATCTCTCCCTCCTCCAACCCCCACCCTGGCCCGCACCTTCTCCCTCCCCAGCCCCACCCTGGCCCAGGCCTCACCTTCTTCCCCCGCCGAAAGGTGCTGTACCAGCTTCCGGGCTTCTCCTTGGACCAGGAGGCCAGCTTCACCTGGGGAGTGGGGGTGGGGCCACTGCAGCAGGTGCCCTGGATGCCCACCCTGGCCCCTCGGCACCTGCCTCCTCTGGGAAGGTGCGGATCCAGCCACCCTGGGCTGCGTACTCAGCAGGTACCCAAGGGTAAGGTTTCCCCCCACCCCGGGAAACCCTCAACCCACGGCTGGGGGATGAGACAAATACTCAAACACCCTTCAGCCCCAAGCTGGACAATTCCTGCATGCTAGGCAAGTGCTCTACCACTCTGCTACATCCCTAACCCTTTTTATTTTATTTTGAGACAGTCTTGCTGATTTACCCAGCCCGGCTTTGGACTTGTGGTCCTCCTGCCTCAACCTCCTGAGTAGCCATGGTTACAGGTGTGCACCATCATGCCTGGTCTTAGCGGTACCTTTTTGTTTCTGTTTCTTTGAGACAGGGTCTTACTATGTAGTTCAAGCTGACCTCAAAGTCACTGTGTAGTCTAGGCTAGCCTCCAACTCATGGTGATCCTTCTGCCTTGGCCTCATGAGTTCTGGGATCACAAATGTGGGCCACCTTGTCCAGTGACTTTCTTCAGCTCCATTTTACAGACAGAAAACCCAAGGTGTCAGCTCTGAATTCCAACCCAGGGCATCCAGGACTCAGAGTCAATGCCACTCACCCCTCGGTCTTCACTTTTGCTAAACCTGGCACTTGTGTGGGGAGGCCATGGGCTCAGGGTTCCCAGGTGAAGAACCCCAGGATTTCCAGGGGGACCTATAAAATGTAGGGGTGCACACCTGTAATCACAGCACTCAGGAGGCTGAGGCAGGAGGATCACTGGGAGTTCACACCCTGCCTGAACTACATAGCAACCCTGTCTCAAAAACGGGACGGAAGAAGGACAAGCCCCGCCGCGGTTTTCCAGCTCACCGTCTCAAATCTCTTGTCGGGGTACAGGCAGGTCTGGCCTCCTGCCGTGAAGTTGCAGAAAACCCTGAGCGCATCCCGCGCACAGCCCTGGTTGGGGTCGATCCAGTAATCGCCTGCGAGCCAGGGGTCCAGGTGAGTGGAAGTTGGGGGCCCCCCCAGTGCCCGCCCCAGGAGGGAAGGATCTGGCCTCACCGTCGGGCAGGTGCGGATGATTTCGCTGCAGCTCGTGGCACACGAGGCCCGGGCGCTCGGCGGTGCCCGGAGGTCGCTGCAGCTGCTCCAGCTCTGCGCTCAGCGACGCCAGCGAGGCCAGAACCTCCTCCAGGCCGCCCTCGGGGACTGCGCGGCGGCGGCGTCTGCGGCTGCGCAGCCCCGGGAACTCGCCCGGGGGTCCCTGGGCATGGGGGGCGGGGAAGACGGAGGAGAGGCGCGCGCATGGGGGGGAGACGATGGAGACACAGATGAGGAAGGCGAGGGAGAGAGACCAGGGGAAGGAAAGGAAGACAGAAAAAGACGGAAATGCAACAGTTGAGCTACGACAGAGACAGGGAGGGAGAGACGGGAGCTCCCCACGAATCCGCTCCCCCAGCCCAGATGTCCTGGGGCCCTCGAGGGCCTGCTCTGGTCACCTGAATCCCTCAACCCCAGGGGACCCCCAAACACAGTCCCTGCCCTCCCTGGCCCCTGATCTGGTGTCCGGGGGACGGGGGGAACTCACCGGGGGGCCGGGAGGACCTGGGGGCCCAGTGTCGCCAGGAGGACCAAGGGAGCCCTAGGGAAGAGGCCAGATCGAGGCGAAGCCTGTGTGGAGACCCCGCCTTCCAACGCACACGCTCGCTCACACGCACACGCACGCAGGCACACGCACGCACGCACGGACGCACGCACACACGCACACGCTCTCACGGCCGCAGGAGTGGGCTCCCGGTGTTCCACGGTAAGCAGTAGCACCCGCATTTCTTCCCATATTTTCCCATCCCCCAAATCAACATCACATCTTGGACAAGTCGTCATTGACTCGGCAGAGGGTTCAGGGACTCACCGGGGACCCTTTGGAGCCTTTCAGTCCCACAGGGCCCTGCGGGGTGGAGACGTGGAGGGTTGGGTCCCGGCCTGGCCTGCCGTGGTGACCCCCATCCTACAACCCCCATACTCACCACCACGCCAGGGGCCCCAGGGTGGCCCACAGAGCCCTTAGGACCAGGGGAACCCTGGAAAAGGGACACAAGGGTCGCTCTTAATGGGGTGCAGCCCGATTGCCCAGATGTCCCTCAGACGAGCCCTCAGTCCCTCAGAGGAAGACCCCAAACCCTAGACAAGTCTCCAGAGAGACCCCCCAAAATCTAGGCACAGCCTCCAGCCTGCACGTTGCCAGGTACAGTCCCCCATTTCTCCCACTCACGACTCCCATCATTTCCCCAGCCCCACACTTAGTCTCTAGGTAACCCCATCCTGCCTTCCCAACCACCCCGGACCCCCACTTCTGAGCCTATCTCTCTGTGCAGGGCAGGACACTTACAGGGTCTCCCTGGAGGCCATGGGAGCCCGGCACACCTGAAAGGCCCCGGTCCCCCTTCTCGCCGGCCTCCCCAGGGGGACCGATGAGGCCTTGCAGTCCGATATGGCCCTGGAGGAGAAGGAGGCACATGAGGGGCAGGTGTGGGGGACTCTGGGGGCCAGTGAGGTGGGCAGCAGAGGACGCGCTGGGCTCCCCGACTCCTGCCAGGAGGAGACTGGACGAGCCGTGGGGTGCATACCGCAGGAGGCGCCCTTACCTTCTCCCCCTTTGGGCCAGCGTCTCCCTTCAGCCCTGGGAGGCCAGGGGGGCCCTGGGGGGACAAGGTGTGGTGTGGGTGGGACTCGGTGTGAGAGCTCAGGGTCCATGGGGGAGGGGGGCTGTCCCTTAAGGGAGATGACCCGCGTTTCCAGGGGGACACAGGAGGGGGCTGAGGGAGGGGGGCGGTTGGGAGTGGCCGAGGTCCGTGGGGCCATAAAGGCGGACCAGAGGGGTGGTCAGTGTGGACGGCCAGTGTAGACCACAGACGCGGGCGGTCAGAACAGATGTTTGGAGGAGACGGTCAGGGAGGGGCCAGCTGCGCCGTCAGCACCAGTGGCCCCCGGATGCCCGGGGGGTGCCCAGTGTGGGCCTCAGAGCTGGGACCTCGGGGACGAAGCCATCTCTTACCAGGGGGCCTGGAGGGCCCATCAGGCCCGGGGGTCCCAGAAGGCCTGGCTCTCCCTGCGGTCAGAGCGGAACAGAGTAGGTCATTCCGGGCCGCAGGTCAGTGTGGACATCCCGCCTGCCCTCAGGCTCCTCCCGGCTGTGACGAGAGCCTGAGGGGGGCCATCCAGCCCTCCACCCCCGCTCACCCCACTCACCACAGGGCCGGGGATCCCCTGAAGGCCCTCGGGCCCTGCACGTCCAGGGGGCCCTTGCGCCCCCACGGGGCCTGTCCTCCCTGGGGGCCCATCAGGACCCGGCTCACCCTGAAATGGACAGGGTCAGGGAGGGGCAGAGAGGGCGGCAGGGCACCGGCCTCCCCACCCCTGGGAGCTACCAGGAGAGGGGAGACCTGAGTGTCACAGGCACCATCTCCTCCCAGGGCCGCACTGTGGGGTCAGCGCAGGGACCCGCTGGGTGGGCTCTCACCTTGGCACCTTTGGCCCCTTCTCTGCCTTCTTGACCCAGGCGGCCTGAGGGACCCTGAGGAAGGAGCAGTGAGTGGGGGGGTGCTATAGACTTCATGGGGTTCTGTGGGCTGAGCCAGGGCACCCGGCCAGTCACTCACCCTCTTTCCAGGGGGTCCCGGGGTGCCAGGTTCCCCAGAAGCACCAGGCGGCCCCTGTGGGGAGGGGGCAGCTTGGCGTTATTGTCTGCCAGCGCTAACAGGATGCCGGTGACCAGAGACAGCCTCCCCCAGACACCACCCTGCACCCCCAAGGGGCTCTCATTCAGCGGGGCCCCAGAAAGGCAAAGCAGGAGCATGTACAGGGGCCCTGGGTGCCCCCCAAACCCTCCCCTCTGCTCCCCCAGTTCACCCACCATCCACCCAACCCCTCTCTCAACGGCACCCCCCCCCACTCACCGGGGCCCCAACATCACCAGGGTCTCCCTTTGCCCCCGGAGAGCCATCTGTTCCCTGCGGGGGGCCAGGGGAAGACAGAGTTGGGAGGGATCATCAAGAGGTCTTGGGGGGTCCATGAGGATTCAGGGTGGGGGTTGGAGGAAAATGAGGGTTGTTCGGTCCACCAACCTTGCCCAGGTCTGTGGTTTGGGGGAAATGAGGACAGAATTAAAGAACAACTGAGCTTTGGGGAAAGGGTGACACTCACCACCGGCCCAGGGTCTCCTGGGGGTCCTAGATCTCCAGCCATCCCTGTAGGGCCCTGGGACACAGAAAGATTCATAATCACATCTCTGGGCTGGGAGGAGCCATTCACTGGTTGGACAGATACTGTCCCAGCTCATGCTCAGCACACACTGTGTTCAGAGTCCCCAGCCTGGTGAGCAAGCTGCCCAGGGTTTAATGGCGCAGGTGCCGAGCTAAGACTGTCCGATGTGTCTCCTCACTTCATCCTCACTTCACCTTCCTGGAAGCTTCCACCTTGGGACTGGACCCAGAGAGGCGACACAGAAGGCAGTGGAGGTGATGAGGTACCACCGACACTCTGGAGCCTTTCCTCACCCCCAAATTACACCAAGAAAGACTTCAACCTGTACCCAATGCCAAATTCACATCAACTCCAAGTCTGACCCAGCATCATCCTTGGCCTTTCCAACCATGCTATGGTTATTTCAGGTGAAATTAACTTCCACCCTGTCCAATGATGGACTGTATGTGTATCTTTCATTCATCCATCCATTCATCCACCCCTCCACCCATTCATCCACCCATTCAGGCACTCGTCCATCCATGCTTTCAGCCATCTATCCATTCATCTAAATTCGTTCATTCATCCACCATCCAGCTATTCATTCCATTTCTTCCATTCATATCTACTCATCTATTAATTCATCCATCCATTCATCCATTCAGTTCATCTGTCCATCCTCATCCATTCATCCATCCATTCATTTGTTCATTAATCCATTCATGCATTCATCCATCTATCCAGCCAGCCAGCCAGCCACATTCTAGGTTGCTCATAGGATCAGCAAATTGGAAGAAAGGACCCTTGGCTAGAAGTTTCCGGGAGACTCAAGGGTACTCCAATGTCCCACAACCTCTGCCTCAATCCCCACCAGGACTCACCATGTTCCCTTTGGGTCCATCCTCTCCAGGAGGACCTTTCTTGCCTGGGGGTCCAGCAGCCCCAGATGGGCCTGAGTCTCCCTTTTCACCAACTTCACCTTTGGGCCCCTTTGCAGAGACAGAGGTCAAAGGTCAGAGAGGTTTGGACTCTTCAGGAATCAAGGATTACCAAACCTGGATTCAAGACTTTTCTAGGGTCGGAGGTCAGACTGAGGCCTCGGTTTAGGCCACCCAATGGTAAGAGGTCAGAGCGACCTAGGGCTTATGGATGGGCCCATTGCCCACTTGTCAAGGGTAAGGCTAGTCTAGCCCATGTGCTCCCTTGGAATGAATTAAAGGGGCCCTCTCTGGGCCACTCACGCCCAAGCCAAGCCTCACAGCTTGAATTTGAGCATCCAGCTGCCCAGCCCTGAACTCTTGATCAGTGTACAACTTAGGGAACTGTACGTAGCAGCCCTCTCTTAGACCTTCTAGAGGACTTTTATCAAGATAGCCAGGGATGCCCAGAGGTCCTGGGTCAGTGGATGACCTAGGACCACCCAGATGTCAAGGTGGCCTGACACACCCAGGGGTCAGGGGTTCCCTGAAATGAATCCAGAGGCTACATTGCACAGACACTCACATGAATTCCTGGGGGTCCTGGGGGTCCAGGGTCCCCAGCATCACCTGGCTCACCCTGCAGGAGGCAAAGTGAGCGTGGGGAGGGGTCCAGTCCTAACCAACAGAGAAAGACTCCCCCAAGCCACGCCCCTCCCGTAAGGACACATTTTCCTCCCGCTGTACGCCCTCTCTCTCACCTTCTCACCCACGGCGCCTGGCTGACCAACACCCCCAGGAAGCCCTGGTGGACCCTAGGGGCAGCAGGGGGTAGAGATGCTTGCGTGAAATCCTGACAGCCTCATCTTGGGAAACGGGGGTTTCCAACCTGAGCCCCCCAGAGTCCTTACCTCTGATCCACTGGGGCCATGGGGACCTCGAGGGCCTGGGGCTCCATGGGGACCCTGTGGGAGGACCAGAATGTACCCAGTGACCCCACAACCCCCCAAACGCTGTGGTGACTGTGCCCTTGCTGCTGATGACCAGCAGGACACTTAGAATGGCATCGTGGCCCATAAGCCCCCAAATGGCTCAAAAGTCCCCGCCACCCTGTAACTGCCTCCCGCCTGTCCCCATGTCCCCTGGGTGCCCGTACCATAGACCCCACGTCTCCAACCTCCCCCTTTTCTCCGGGAGGGCCTGGCAATCCCTGTGGAACAAAGAAGCGAGATTGGAGCAGGCAGTTGGGACAGGGACCGAGGCAGCACCCCAAACCCAGACACCCACTTGAGGGCCAGGGGGCCCGTTCACCCCCGTGAAGCCTCGGACTCCATCATCTCCTTTCTGCCCAAAGAGGCCTGGGGGTCCCCGGCGTCCCTGAGCTCCATCAGCTCCCTGGGAAGGGGACAAGATCAGGGCACAGTTAGGGTCTGGATCGAGGGCTGGAGATAAGGTCAGAGTCAGGGTTCAGTTTGGGGAAGGTGAGGATTGGGTTTGGAGTTGGGGTTCATTCATTGGATTGAGGATTCCGATTCAGGAATGAAGTCAAGGGTTGGGTCAAAGGGTTTTGGGGGGGGCTTGGTTTTTTGAGACAGGATCTCATTATGTAGTCCAGGCTGGCTTTGAACTCATAGAGATCCTCCTGCCTCAGCCTCCCAAGTGCTGAGATCACAGGTATACACCACCATGCCTAGCTCTTAAATGGTATTTATTTATTTATTTATTTTGGTACCGGGGATCGAACTCGGGTCCTTGTGCTTGCAAAGCAGGCAGGGGAACCACTGAGCTAAATCCCCAGCCCTTAAATGGTATTTGAAGTGGAGCCTGAGAAGTGATTAGAGCTAAATGATTTCATGAGGTTGGGGACCCTCATGGTGGCTTGGTGCCTTGAGCTGTTGTCTTGCTCTGTCATCCATGGGATGCCCTGTCCCATGGATAACAGCAAGAGGATCCTTGGCAGGTACCAAGCAGATGCCAGCAACAGGGTCATGAATTTCTCAGCTGAGATTCGGGTCAAGGTTAGAGTTAATATCGAGTGTTGAAGGCAGAACAAGGTGGGGTGGAGGCTGGGACTCAGGGGGGTCACTCACCGGGGTTCCTGGGTGTCCTGAGGGACCCCTTATGCCTGTCGGTCCAGGTGGACCCTGGGGAAGGGAACAGAACACAAAATCCCTACAGGTTCCTGATTGGAGGACAAGAGGCCCTAGATACTCCCATCAATCTCCCTGACCACACCCCTTACTAGCATGCCCCGCCCACCGGGAAGTGACATCACTCCCCCCCCCCCCCGGACCAAGAGAGCTGTGTGTCCCCAGCTTGGCCCTCCATGAAGATGGAACTCAGGGAGGCAAGACGCCCTGTGGCCTCTGAACCCTGCCCATCTCCGCCTCCCTGGCCTCCTGTGCCCTTCCCTCAAGGCCACCCCTGTCACCAGGGTCTCCTCACCGCATCTCCCTTGTTGCCTCTGCTGCCCTTGTGGCCGGGGGCACCCACTTCCCCCTGCAGAGGAAGTGGTGTGAGGAGAATCCAGCCTCCTCCTCCTCCGCCCCAGGAGTCCCTTCTCCACCCCTCACCTTGTCACCCTCTTCGCCCACAGGCCCAGCAGCTCCAGGGGGTCCCTGAAGCCCAGGGGGCCCCAGGACCCCATCCTTTCCAGTGGGGCCCGGTGCGCCACGTTCTCCCTGGTAGAGTGAAAGCAATCATCAGGGCCCTGTGTGTCGCAGGACCAGGTCCTGGGGATGCCTGGGAAGGGGGCACGCGGGACACTCACCGGGGACCCCTTCTCACCCGCAGGACCCGCCGGGCCTTGGCTACCACTTTGGCCAGGGAGCCCAATGCCGCCTGATGGGCCCAGGGGACCCCGCTCGCCAGGGGAGCCCTGAAAACAGGAGAAGAAGATCAGGACAAGTTCATCTTTGTTTTTGTTTGTTTTGTTTGAGACAGGGTCTCAAGATGGAGCCCAGGCCAGCCTCGGACTCACTATGTAGCCCAGGCTGGCCTCAAACTCATGGTGATCCTCCTGCCTCAGCCTCTCTGCTGGGCTATTTTTGCTTCAGGGCCCTCACATCTAGCTATACTAGAGCATAAGCTCCAGGCAAAAATATACGTTGGCGTGTGAAGCACAGGTAGGTATGTGCTGGGTGGTGCCACAGTCTGGACGTGGTGTGAGTGTGTGCCCCAACCTGTCCTGTCCAGGGTTCATGTCTGGAAGTGAAGTCCCCATTGTGCAGTATGGTGCTTAGAGATGGGGATTCGGGAGAGTGACTAGGATTTGATAAGGTCCTCAGGAAGTGGCTTCCCCCTGTTGAATCCTAGTGGCTTTATAAGAAGAGCCTGGGGGTTAGGGATGTGGCTCAGTGGCACTGCACCTGCCTCACAAGCTCAAGGCTCTGAGTTTGATCCCAATCCCCAGCATTGAAAAAAAAAAGAAGAGCCTGGCGTGGTGGGGCACATTGGTCATCCTGGCACTCAGGAGGCTGAGGCAGGAGGATCACCCAGAGTTTGAGGCTTATGAATGAGACGGGAAGTGTCTCGTCACAGCTATCTTACAAACAAGGAAACTGAGGCTTGGCAGGTGACACGACTGTCCAGCCAAAGAGCAGCAGGACTCAGTGTGCCCGGCCTGCCCGACTCCAAGATGACAAGCTTCATCGTGAGGAATACCTGCGTCCCCTGCATTCCCCCACCTCGCTCCCCACCCTGTAGGTGCAGTTGTACTTACATTGGCCCCAACAGGACCAGGGGGACCTTTGTCGCCCTTCAATCCAGGGGGTCCCTGAGGGAGGAGATGACAGTCAAGAGACCCCCACAGGGACCCCCAGGTCCGCATCCCGGGTCCCTCCCATCTTCGTCACTTTCCTGGTTCCTGCCACCCGGATGCCACCACTGTGCCCTCCCTGAGTCCCCGCTCCCTTCTCTGCTGCACGGCCAGCCTGGCACATGTGGAGGGGTCCCCCAGAGATACTCACGGGGTCCCCAGGGCCTCCTTTGGGCCCAGTGGGGCCTCTCAGTCCAGGCGGCCCCTCCTTCCCAGTGGGTCCTAAGGGTCCTGGCTCCCCCTGTGGAATCGTAAAGCGGGGTGGTCAGGTTATAGAGAGGGGGTGTCTCCCACAAGTCTGTGACTCTGGGAGCTGCCTGTAGGGTGGTTTCCCAGCCCCAAGGGCCATCGAAGGGACTTTGAGGTCATTAGCCTCACCTTGGCTCCTTCTCCGCCTTCCGGGCCCGGGAGCCCATGTTCACCAGGAGGCCCAGGGGGGCCGGGGTGGCCCCTCTCACCCAGGGGTCCAGCATCCCCTATCTTTCCCTGCAGGGGAAAAAGATGTCCTTGAATAAGCTTCCCTGGGAAGAGAAGCCGGCAGAGACCCAGACCCAGGCCCCTCCCAGTTTCCCCCAACCGGTACGAAATGGGGTCCACTCTGACCTGAGGACCCAAGACACCTGCTGGTCCAGGTGGGCCCGTCTGACCTTGGAAGCCCTGGAGAGAAAATAAAATGGTGGGGTCACACGGGAAGAGGGAAGGGAGAGCCTAATAAGCTCAGGGATCAAAGTGAAGGCATCACTCACCAATTCTCCTCTCTGTCCAGGGTGCCCTGGTGCCCCCTCTTTTCCCTGGGGACCCTGCGGGACAGGGTGGGAGGGGGTTGGAGTCTTTCCCCAGGTCCCCCTCTGCCCAGCCCCCAACTGGGGTGACCTCACTCACAGGGGGGCCCTTCGGCCCAGGGAATCCTAGGGGACCCTGCAGTCCAGGGAGGCCCTGAAAGGGAAGCAGAAATCATTGCTCCATCCATCCTCCCTGCGTCCTCCTGAGCCCACAATGACGTGGAAAGCTAGCACATAATGAGCACCTACAGCATGCTCTGCATGGCACAAACACTGTCCACACAGTAAATAATTACTAGCCGGGCATGGTGGTGCGCGCCTGTAATCCCAGCACCTGGGAGGCTGAGGCAGGAGGGTTGCCTCAAGTTCGAGGTCACAGTGAGTTCATGGCCAGCCTGGACTACATAGCAAGATCCTATCTCAAAAAGCCAAAAAAAAAATAATAATAATTTCATCCACCTCTGCTGGCCATTGGGGTGGAGGATGTGGTCACTGCCATTTCACAAAGGAGGAAATCAGGGCACAGAAAGGTTAAGTGAGTTCCCCAAAGGCACACAGCTGGTGAGTGGCAGAGCTAGGCCTCGAACTCGTGGCTCTCTGATTTCAGAGGCTGAATTCTGTCCTCTGTGTTATGATGTCTCCCTGGGCTTGTACCTTGCTCAGAAACACATGTGCAAGCACATACACACTCACCTTTTCTCCAGGGATTCCTGGGGACCCGTCCTGGCCCACATCACCCTAGGACAGAGGGAGAGACTGAGATCCCAGAACAAACTCAGCTAGAAAGGACTTGGAGTGTGGGGGGCGGGCAGGGGAGCTGAGGCAGGAGGGCCTTGATCGCCCACCAAACCCATACCTTGGGGCCTGGCTGTCCTGTTGCCCCTGGCTGCCCTCTCTCTCCACGAGAGCCCTGCACAGAAAAAAAGGCAAAGAACAGAAGTCAGGAAGCCTTGGAAATGACACAAGCCCCAGGTCCTCTCCCTCCCCGATGCCCCTCCCCGACTAGGGACACAGACATAACGGAGTCCTCCCTGCCCCCTGGCCCGGGTTCCCCATCTGCTTACAGGTGGTCCTCTCTCTCCTTCCTGCCCCTGCTGGCCTGCCTTGCCCTGAAACATGAGCCAGGTAGGGAGAGCAGGAGAGAATCACACAAATGCTCCTGGTCACACATCCAGAAAGACTCCCACCACATATTTATTCACAAGCCTTGCACACGCACACACACAATTCACACTCAACTATGCGAAAATCACAGACACCCAATGGCACATCAGGTTGGAGCTGTGGGGTGTAAACACACCGCCAGGTCCAGCTACATGAACACAATCACCATAACCATGCAATACTCACTGTGGCATGCATTTGGAAAATCCATGTGATACCCTGAGCTTGTCATGGGATGCATCCCTTGCACCATTTTGTTTTCTGAGACAGGCTCTCACTATGTAGTTCAGGCGCCCTTGAACTCACTATGTAGCCTAGGCTGGCCTTAAACTCACAGCAGTCCTCCTGCCTCAGCCTCCCTACTGTTGAGATTAGAGGTGTGTGTCACTACACCTGGGATTTGCACCATTTACAACCCCCGTGAACACAAACACACATGGATTCCTGTGATGACATGGTCTTGATAAACACACCAGTATACACACACACATCAGTGCATCCTACACAGGGCCCATTTACCCAGTTGTGATGCACATGTATCCATGTACGGTGACACCTTGATTCATGAACAATTTGGTTCACAAACAGAAGCATTTGGCAAAGTTTTCGTTTTTTTGTTTTTTGGTTTTTTTGGTACCAGGGACTGAACTCAGTCCCTTGTGCTTGCAAGGCAGGTGGCAGCACCACTGAGCTAAATCCCCACCCCTAAAATTTTGTTTTGGTTTGCAAGCTCTGCATCAGGTGATAAGCACAACCACAGCCATCTTTCCCACAGGAACACAAATGTGACCATCTTTTCCAGAATCGTGGAATGAATTAAGTTCATAAACTGAGGTACTACTGTAATGCATGCATGTGTACACCCCTGGTGTGCACAGAAACATATAGGCATGCATAGATCCTTGACTCCATCACATGCATGTGCACAGTTCCATACATGTACACACATGTAGGCCCCTGCCCTTCTTCTCTCCCAGCCACTCCCGCAGGATGCAGCATGCAGACCCTGCCTGGTTTACATGGATAGATGTGCCAGACACGTACACCTGTATGTGTTCACAGGCCTGTGTGTGGTCATATCAGCTGTGACCGCCCACCTGGACCCTGTATTGCACACAGGTGTCCATACAATGTTTCCAAGCAGAGACACAGTTGCCCAGCACCCACCCCTACACAAGCCTGCCCCACCCCTTGCCCCAGGGCCATGACTTACCCGCTTTCCCTTCTCTCCTAATGGTCCCAAGGGCCCGGGAAATCCAATAGATCCCTGTGTGGAGAGAATCGGAGAAAAAGATGGGAGAGAGATGGGTAGAACTGGCTCCTTACCCATCTCAGGCCACCAATTCCAGTGGCTTTGTTGGCTCCAAGCCAGCCCTCGGCCCCCTTTACTCTCCCTCTCCCTCTCCCTGCTTCTTGCTATACCAGCCACCCTGGCCCCCACAGTGCTATTCAGTACGCAAATACGTTCCTGCCGCAGGGCCTTTGCACAGGCTGCTCCCTAGGCCTAAAATGCTTTCCTCCCAGATCCCCACAAAGCCAGCTATTGCTCATCATTTAGATACCACTTGGGGTGCTCTTCTGCCACCATCCTGACTACCACCCCCTCTAAGTCATCTTTGAGTTATCACAAAATAGGACATCAGACTCAATTTTCCTTTCAAATCCTTGTATCAAAATGACTGTGTTAGCCAGGTGTGGTGGCACATGCCTGTATTCCCAGCACTTGGGAGGCTGAGGCAAGAGGATTGCTTGCAAGTTCGAGGCCTGCCTGGACTACTTAGTCATACCTTGTCTCAAAAACCAAAAATACTTCACCTCCTGCTGTGCAAGCACAAGGACCCGAGTTTGATCCCCGGTACCAAAAAGAAAAAAACAAAAACAAGCAAACAAAAAAACCCCAAAAATAACAACAACAAAGCAACAGATGATCTATTCACTTGCTTACTTATTCAATGTCTGTTTCACACCATTAGGAGTCAGTTCAGTGGTCTTCTCACTGCCTGGCACCTAGTGAGTACTTATTCAATATCTGCTGGGCATGGTGGCACACTCCTGTCATCCCAGCTCTCTGAGAGGCTGAGGCAGGAGAATGATAAATGTGAACACAGCCTGGGCAACTTAGCAACTTAGCAAGATCTTGTCTGAAAATAAAATAATAATAAGGACTGGGGATGCAGCTCAGTGCAAAGGCTCCCATTTCAATCCCCAGTACCTTCCCCCCAATCTGTTAACTAACTGACTCCAGTGAGTTTAAGGCCAGCTTGAACCACATATTTCTTGTCTCAAAAAAAAAAAAAAGACTATCATTTTTATCTGAGTCTGAATCCTGGATCCTCCCCTAACCAAGCTGGGTGGCTCTGGACAAGCATCTAAGCCACTCTGAGCACTAGTTTCCATGTGTGTAGCCTGGGTTACAAACAAAACCTTCTTTGAAAGGTTTTGAGATAGGATCAGGGGTAGGAAGTGTTCCATATGGTGTTTGGTACAAAGTAAGCACTCAGGTAACATTAGCTGCCTGCTGTGAACTAGGTGTTACATCCTTGGTCCTCAAGGTGGCGCTACTGGAAGGTGCTGGTGGTCTGTAGGAGGTGGGGCTTAGGGAGAGGTCTTTAGGTCATTGGCAATGTGTCCTCAAAGTGGCTTGGGATCCTCGCTCTCTCTTCTTCTTGATTTGTTGTTGTTGTTTTGGTGTTTTTGAGACATGGTCTCACTATGTAGTTCAGGCTGGCCTTGAACTCACTATGTAGCCCAGGCTAGCCTCCAACTCTCAGCAATCCTCCTGCCTCACCCTCCTGAATGCCTGGATGACAGCTGGAATGAAATCTATAAAACCATGAGCTAAATAAACTTTTTTTTTTCACAGTATAGAAATTGAACCCTAGGGCCGGGGATTTAGCTCAGTGGCTCTACCGCCTGCCTTGCAAGCGCAAGGACCCGAGTTTGATCCCCGGTACCAAAAGAAAAAAAAAAAAAAAGAAAAGAAATTGAACCCAAGACCCTAGCACTGAGCTACATCCCCAGTCACTTTTATTATTTTGAGGCAGGGTCTCCTTACATTGCTAAGTTGCCCAGGCTGGGCTCAAACTTGCAATCCAGCCTCTCAGAATGCTGTGATTACAGGTGTCCACCACCATCCCTGGCTTCGGGTATTTCTTTTTTTTGGTACCAGGGATTGAACTCAGGACCTTGCGCTTGTGAGGCAGGCAATGGAACCACTGAGCTAAATCCCCGGTTGGGTATTTCCTTATAGCAATGCGAAGTGACTAATGTGCTGTCATTGTTGTTATGCATAACGATTTTTACCGACCTCAGCTTCCCCAGTATATCAGGTTCCTCGTCCTCAATGGCACACACACTGATTGGTCTCTGGCTGGCAGCTTCTCTCTCAAACTCCCATGAGCCTCTGCTCTCACAGGTCAAGTTCTATACTTGGCTATGATCCCTTGAATTTATTCCCTAACCTGCTTATATCCTCAGTACTTGTCACTGGTGTCATGGGATTTAATGAAAACTTATAGGAACTGATGAATTACAGATTGAAAAAGAAAGATGCCTATCAGGGCTGGGGATTTAGCTCAGTGATTCCGCCGCCTGCCTTGCAAGCACAAGGTCCCAAGTTCTATCCCCAGTACCAAAAAAAAAAAAAGATGTCTATCAAAATCGAGTTGAACAGAAAAGATTCAATATAAAAGGAAGCCACTAAAAAAGTTGATGTCAGATTAGGTATAGGCAGGATAACTGGAGTAGTTACGAGGGGAGAAAGGATGCAAATCTGGAATGATTCTGCACTCATGCTTGCTTCCAAGTATCTTTAAGTTCCTGGTGTACTTTCTATAAACAGGCAATGGTCAATCACACATGATGTAATGTGGGTGCGGTTCAGGCAGAAAGGTAAATCTCATCAGTATCCTCATCCATCAAAACGTTGGTAAACAAATACACACAGTATTCTGGCAGAGAGTGGTGGTCATCTTAGCACTCAGGAGGCTGAGGCAAGGAGATCACTGAAAGTTTAAAGCCAGCCGGGGCTACGTAGCAAGATCCTGTCTCAAAAATGGAGACAAACCAAAGTCACATTGCCAGTAACAAGGGACTCTTTGACCCTACATCCATCTGATGCCAAAGTCCATATTTTACCCTCTCTCAAGTGATCCCTGAGCTGGACAGCTCACCCCTCAGAGCACAGCTGGAGCCCCAGATGTTGGCCCTGGCTCCTGTGCCACCCACCCCCAGCTCCCTGGCTTCCTACCTTAGGTCCTGGACGTCCTGGGTATCCTGGGAGACCGGGCACACCAAGATTGCCCTGCAGGGAGATTACAGGACAAAGGTCAGACATGGCAACCCAGAGGTCAGAGGGGAAAGGTCAGGATGGCTGTGGCCCCACAGTGAGAATCAGAGAAACTGGGCTCAAGTCCTGGTTCCTGTTTGTGTGGAGGGCGAGTCCTTGGGAAGGTTATTCAACAATCACAAACTCAATTTCCTAGTACAGCCTCTAATTCCAGCACTCTGGGAGGCTGAGGCAGGACGATGACGGATTTGAGCCCAGCCTGGGCAATTTAGTGACTTAGGAAGACCCTGTCTCAAAATTTAAAAAAAAAATTTAAAAAGGGTTGGTGATACAGCTCAGTACAAAGGACTTAAGTTCATTCCCCAGTACTAATCAAGCAAGCAAGCAAAAAAGCTCAGTGCTTGTGTTGGCTGTAGAAATAAAAATAAGATTATGTGCCTGGGATGGCTCTGTAGCGCTGAACCGAGGGACGAAGAGAGAAGATAAGGGTGATGTCCACCTCCTGTGGTAGGGGACCCAGGGCCATGAGGGGCTGGGGTGTGGCCCTGGGTTCCATCCTGGCACCACAAAAAGGGAGGACAGGGGCCAAGGCAGGGAGCACCCTGACCTCGGGGAGGGGTGACCACAGTTGACTCACCTTCTCCCCAGCTGTGCCCAGGGGCCCCTCCTCGCCCGCCAGCCCCTCCGGCCCCTTCAGCCCCTCAGGACCCTCCTCTCCTCGGGGGCCAGGGGGTCCTGGTTGTCCCTGGAGTGGAAGAGAGCCTCATTGTCAGCCTCTGTCCCTCTGCTCCCTCAAGAGCCCCAGCTCACCCCCTCGCTGGTTGCCCCGTAACCCCAGGCCCACCCTGCACCCCTCTCCCGCAGCCTGTCTTACCCAATCGCCTTTGGGGCCCACGTCGCCCTTGAAGCCAGGGAAGCCGTCCTCTCCCTGGGCAGGAGAGAAGAAAGAGGTGGAGGTCAGGGAAGGGGATGCAGCCAGGACACCGTTAAGGGGCTCCCTCCCCTCTGAGAAACCCCCTTCTCTCTCACCCTCTCTCCTTTTTCTCCTTGGAGGCCTCGATTGCCTGAGGTACCCTGAAAAATAAAATTTTGAAAAGCTCTCAGTCGCTGCATGTGGTGGCCCATGCTTGTCATCCCAGCACTCAGGAGGCTGAGGCAGGAGGATCGCTGCAAGTTTGAGGCCAGCTTGGACTACAGAGTGAGACTCTGGCTCAAAAAATAAAAAAATAAAAATAAAAAGCTCTCAGTCTCTTTCCCTGCTTGACAAGTGTTCCAAGTTTGGTCCCCAGTCTGAAACAACCAGACCCATCTCAAGAGGACAGTGGACCACAGTGCGGGGCAGGGTCAGATGCAGAGGAAATAATCCGTCCCCAGAGCTGCCAGTGCCCACCCAACTCGCCCTCTGTCCCTGGCTGTATCCCAGGATGCTCTTCTTGGGGTATCCAGGGAAGGCCAACCTTCCCTGTCATCGATGTCCTAGGGACACCATGTCCACCATTGCTCTGGCAGGAGGAGGAGGACAATTTTCCAAATTGTGACTGCATTTCCAAGGCAGAGGAATGTCCCCCACTGTGCTGCTCACAAGAGGACTCTTCTCTGCGACACAGGCTCAGCAAGGCTACAGTGTAACCAAGCTCAACAGCCACAATGTAACTATGTGTTTGGGAACAGCTACAATGTAATTAGATTCCACTACAACTATGCTCTTCCCTCCTAAGACTCCAGGGAAGGCTTGAGACCATGTACCAAACCCTAGATATGTTACGGTTTTTGTTTAGGGTTAGGGTTCGGGTTTTTGTTTGCAGTACTGGGCATTGAACACGAGGCCTTCACATGGAGCTACATTTTTTAATTTTTTACTTTGAGACAGGCTCTCACTAAGTCATTAAGTTATCCAGGCTGGGCTCAAATGTGTGACCCTCCTGCCTTGGCCTCCCAGAGTGCTGGGAACAGGCATTCCCCACAACATCTGGCTCCTACATACACCATGGTTTTTCCTCTATTTACATACCTGTGATGGTTTGATTTACAAATTAGGTGGCGAGAATAACAACTAATAATAAAACAGAACAATTATAACAATACAGTGTTCAAAAAGTTACATGAATGTAGCCTCTCTCTCCCTCCCTCCAACCCTATCTCTCCACCCAAACATCTTATGGTACTTTCACCTTTTCCTCTAAAGGAAGCATTTTACAGCTTCTCTTTGGAATATTCTCATTGCTAGCATTGGTACTTTTGCACTCAGGGGCCATGATTGTTCTGTTTGCTTGGTTTTGTTTTTTTGAGACAGGGTTTCACTATGTAGCCCAGGCTGGCTTCGAACTCACAACAATCCTCCTGCCTCAGCCTCCCAAGTACTGGTACCACAGGCAGGCACCACCACACCTGGCTCCCCTTCCAGAAGTTTCTGGCAGAGCTGGTTTCCTGACCACCCCACTGCAGGCTCCCAGTGTCACCTACCTTCACGCCCCGGGGTCCAGGGTAGCCTGGAGGCCCTGCCGAGCCTGGTGGTCCCTGACAGGAAGACAAGGTTGATGTCACCCTGCTCTGTCCCTTCTTGTCCCCAGGGTACCTGGCACTACCCTCCCCTGCCTCCCGGCCCTGTCTCCAGCCCTTCTTTCTCCCCTACTGGCCTCCCCCTGTCACTCACCTGGGCCCCTTTCTCTCCTGTGGGACCCTCCTGGCCTGGGTGACCCTGAAGAAGAAATAGGTGAAGTCACCAGTGACCAAACTTTGTCCACCAAATCCCCAAGCTGAGCCACCCCTTCTCTTCCGCACCCTAGTTCTCACCAGAGGGCCATCAGCTCCTGGGGAACCTGGGATGCCTGGGTTTCCGGGGGGACCCTAAAAGAAGATGGTCAGGGAAAAGGGGTCTCAGAGCCCTCGGGTTCCACCAGGAACAGGATGGCTCTGCCCAGACAAACAGCTGTCTCAAGGTCAGGAAATCTGCCTGTCTCAGCCTCTCTCTTGACTTGCTGTCTGTCCCCAGGGAATTCTCTTGCCCTCTCTGGGCCACAAAAATCCCACGTTCTGAACACCAGAGAGAAGGGATATAAAACAGTGTGAGAGGTCTGGGGTGCAGCTCAGTGGCAGAGCACTTGCTGAGCACGTGCACGGTCCTGGGTTCCATCCCCAGCACCACATACACACAAACACAAAAGAACAACCAGTATGAGAGGCCTGTGGCAAGGGGGGGGGGCTTCCGAGCTATACCCCTTTCTTTAAAAGTGCCTCCTACGCCAGGCATGGTGGCACACGCCTGTCATCCCAGCACTCGGGAGGCTGAGGCAGGTGGATTGAAAGTTGGAGCCCAACCTGGGCAACTTAGTGACCTAGCAAGACCCTGTCTCAAAATAAAATAGGGCCAGGGATTTAGCTCAGTGGTTCCACAGCCTGCCTCGAAAGTGCAAGGTCCTGAGTTTGATTCCCGGTACCAAAAATAAATAAATAAATAAAAATGAAACAAGCGTGCCCCAAAAGTCTCATGTGTCCAGAGGTGGGGCTTTATGAAGGTGTTGGATCTCAAGAAGCCTAGTTAGAGCAAGTCTCTCTCTGGTCCCTGCCCCTTCCTCTCCAGCTCTGTCTCTTTCTCTGGCTCCCAGCCACCACAAGATGAGCAGCTTTCTCTGCTAGGCCTTTCCACTACCATCTTTCTGCCTTGGAGCCCACTGACCATGGACTGAGCCCTCTGAAACTGTGAGCTAAATTCAACCTCTCCTCTTTTTAGTTTTCCTCATCAGGGATTTTTTCCTAGCACTAAAAAGCTGTGACAAACACAGATGGCTTTGGGTAAAGATCTAAGATCACAGGAAACTGGGGCCAGACATGGTGACACAGCAGCACACGACTGTGTTGAAATCGCAGCTGGCAAGGATGAGGACAAACGGGGACACATGCAGGAAGGAGCTCATCTGCCAGGGGACAGGGTGCAGGTGTCCGGGGTGACAGAGCCTCCCGCCCGTGGTGGCAGAAATCTGTCTGTGAAAGCCTCCCGGGGCCCCTCTCCATCCTGACAATGTCCCCTTTATAATCTGGCCCTGGTGGGCTTCCATTTGCTGTAACCAACCCTCCCCTAAAAGAGTCACTTTGTCACTCTGGACTGGCTTAGCAAGCGTGGCAATTGATGACCAGCCAGGGTCCTGGCACGAAGCTTTTCCTGGTGACACAGTGGGAAGGGAGAGGACAAGGAAGGTGGCAATGGATGCCAGCGTGGCTTACCTTCACCCCCGGGTTGCCGATGGGTCCCTGGGGGCCAGGAATTCCCTGGGGACCGAAAAAAAGAAGGTGGGGAGGGAGGAGAGAGAGACTGTGAGCACCAGGGCAGGCGGACAGGGAGAGGTTGAGGGCTAATGTTACCCCTACTGTCAGAAAGACAGCTCAAACCTGGGCCCCGTGGTTTCCCTGCTGTCCGGGTGGCCCTGGATCTCCAGGCGGACCCTGCAGAGAAAGTGGGGGATCAGTGGAGCTGGAAGAGGTCACGGTGTGGAGGGCCAGAAGTGCTCATGTAGCCAGGTGGGGTGATGCATGCCTGTCATCCCAGCACGCGGGAGGCTGAGGCAGGAGGATCCCACGTTGCAGCTCAGCCTGGGCAACTTAGTGACTTAGTGAGACCCTGTCTCAAATTTTAAAATAACAAAAGAGGGGCCGGGGATTTAGCTCAGTGGTTCTGCTGCCTGCCTTGCAAGCGCAAGGTCCCGAGTTCGATCCCCAGTACCAAAAAAAACCCCATAACTGACAGTCACAGACTCAGAGTATGGGAAGCACCCGGCATAAGACAGAGCACACGTACCACATTGCCTTTGGCACCAGGAGCTCCATCACTTCCGGTGACACCCTGGGGAAGACAGGAGGTGACATTAGCATGGGACACACCAGGATCCCAGGATGAGACAGCCAGAGGTACAAGCAGAAAGGTGGGTAGAGATGCTGGACAACAGGGGTGGACACACAGAGGAGGAGAAAGGGGTGGGTGGGGATGAGGACAGCAAGTGACATCCTCACCAGGCGTCCCAAGGGGCCAGGGGAGCCTCGGGGGCCAATCAGACCTCGAGGGCCCTGCAGGGAAGGAGACGTATTATCCTGATGTCACCTCTGTGCGGTCCTGGGAGTCCTGGGACCCTGCCCGGGCACAGGGTTGGGGTCTCCATACTCACCGGCTCCCCAGCCTGGCCAGTGGGCCCCGGTGGCCCCTCTACTCCCTGCAGGAAAATGGCATTACTTGGGGGGGTCCCGTCCCTTAAGGAGCCCTGCCCTCAGCCAGGCAGCTCCTTCTGGGGGACCTGAGTTCTGGTGACATCTCAGGGATCTTGCAGATGGGGTGCAGGGATTCTACTCCTATTCTGAACTCACAGCCCCAAGTCTGATCTGGAACCCAATCTTTTACTTTGGGTTCAATTTTTTGTTTCCGCTACTGGGGATTGAACCCAGGACCTTCACACTGAGCTCCATCCCAAACCCTATTTTTATTTTTTAGCTCAAAACACCATCTCTCGGGCTGGGGATTTAGCTCAGTGGTTTCGTCGCCTGCTGCACAAGCGCGAGGACCCGAGTTCGATCCCCAGTACCAAAAAACCAACAAAAACCCACCATTTCGCTAAGTGGCCCAGTTGAGATTTAGACTGGAGATCCACCTGCCTCAGCCTCCCTCAGTGCTGGGATAATGGGCATGTGCCGCCGCTACACTCAGTTTAAAACTTTCCTCCGGAGGCCCAGGACTTCAGGACCTACCCTTAGCCCCAGGGCTCTCCTCCTTACCGACTGTCACCCCCAAACGTCCCTCCCCCGCACTTACTTTGCGGCCATCCTCTCCCGGGGGGCCTGGTTGGCCCACGAGGCCAAAGTCACCCTGGAGGAGGGGACAGAAGGGAGGTCAGCATGGAGATGGGACACGAGGGGGGACCAGATGCCAGGACGGAGAGGGAAGGGGACACGGCAGGGCCTGGGACGAGGGGGCCACACTCACCCTCTGTCCCTTCTCTCCGGGCACCCCCGGGAGGCCGTCAAAGCCCCGGTCGCCCTGTCCAGAGAGAAACCATCAGGGCCTGAGCCCCGCCCCTTTCCCGGCCCACCCACCCCCGCCCCGCCCCGCCCGTCACCCACCTTGGGCCCTGTGTCTCCCGGCATGCCCCGCGCCCCATCTGCTCCGGAGCGGCCCTGGAGGACAGAGACGGAGTCAGGGATAAAACTCCCCGGGGACTCAGGGACCTCGCCAAGGCGCGCATCACCATTCGCCTCCCAAACACATCTCGACACCCCGCCCCCCCCACCTTTCACACCGAGCCACGCCCCCAGGGCTTTTTATTTTTTAAATAAACTTTATTTTATTTTATCCCATTTCCCCCCTTTTATTTTTAATTTTGAGATAGAATCTCAAGAAGCTGCCAGGCGTGGTAGCGCACACCGGTCATCCCAGCATTTGGGAGGCTGGGGCAGGAGGATCACTGTGAGCTTGAGGCCAGCCTGGGCCTCATAGTGAGACCCTGTCTCAAAAACCCGAACAAGGGGGCCGGGGATTTGGCTCAGTGGTTGCGCTGCCTGCCTTGCAAGCGGGAAGTCCCGAGTTCGATCCCCAGTACCAAAAAAAAAAAAAATGAACAAGGGCAGGGGTTGTAGCTCAGTGGCACCGCGCCTGCCTCACAAGCGCAAGGTCCTGAGTTTGATCCCTGGTACTGCAAACAAACAAAGAAATCTCACTAAGTGACCCAACCTGGCCTCAAACTTGTGATCCTCCTGCCTCAGCCTACTGAGTAGCTGGGATGACAGGTGTGCGCCACTGCCCCGGCCAGGCTTCTCTTTCACACCCGCTGTGTTCTGCTCGGAAAGCCCTTCTTTGCCTGCTACCCAGTTATAGTCAGATCTCGGGCCGGACATTGCTTTAGCTCAAAGGCCCCGAGATCTGAACACAACATGTCTCGATTCTTTCCTCATCTCCTTCCTTCCTCTCTGTTCCCTCCCTCTCTCGCTTCCCTCCCTTTGGCAAAAGTTCTATCTCCCCATTTGCTATCATCTTTTATTTTGCTCTTTGACTTATTTCTACTTTGAGTTTCTCATCTAAGAGAAGCTGTGTGATATTGATATTGTGTGATATTGTGTGTCCAATTTCTTTCATTTAACATTACGCTCTCAAGGTGCACCCATTTTCCGACTAATGCCTCAAGTTTATCCTTCTTCATGGCAGAGTAGTACTCCATGGTGTGTAAACACCACACTTTGTTAGCCACTCCTCTGCTGATGGACACACAGGCCACTTGCAGGCTTTACCTAGCATGAGTTGTGCTGCTACAAACACTGGTATGCATGTGTCACTGTGAGATGATGCCTCTAAATTGTCTTGGGGACCTAGGAACTACTCACCCGCTTGCCCTCTCTGCCAGGGGGCCCAGGAGGTCCCTGCAGCCCTCGGGGACCCTGGAAGACAAGGCACAGGAGAAAGGAAGGAAGGTTAAAAAGGAGGAAACTGCTTCCTGAGCCAGGCCACATTGCAGGGGCACCCCAAGCCCTGCCACCCCCATCCCAGCCCCCTCTCTCTCACCTGTGGCCCTGTTTCCCCTGGTTCACCTTTCAGTCCTGGGTATCCTGGGAGACCCTTGGGGAGGAGGAAGAGGGAGGATGCGGTCAGGGGTGACCCTCGGTCATGGGGTGCTCCCTCCACTATGCAGGCTCCCTACTCACCACAGGCCCTGGGCGTCCTGTGAACCCCACTGGGCCAGGGGGGCCTTTCATGGACAGCTGGAGAGAAAAAGGAACAGGACTTCGGGTCTCTGCCACTGGGCTCCATCCCCAGCCCTTTGTGTTATTTTTTTATACTGAGCCAAGATTCAAACTTACGATCCTCCTGCCTCACCCTCATCTGATACTGGGATTATGGGCATGCACCGCACAAAGGCTATGTGCTGGACACTCGAGCTCTTGTTAATGGGGTGTGCAGGAGCAGCCTTTGGAGGTGATTAGGGTTCCTGTGGTTGTGAGAGTGGATCCCACACGGCACTAGCCCAGGAAGAAGAAGCCACGAGCCAGTGTGCCGAGCCCAGTGTGCCGTTACAGCGACAGAAAGCCAAGCTCGCTGGGGCCAGACCCCTCCCCGAGCCCCAGCCTCCTCACTCCTCACCTGTCCCCTCCCATGGCCACGTCCCTGCCCTCACCTGGGTCTGCTGCAGCACAGCCTGGGCCTGGGCCTGCTGGAAGGACACTGGGGGCCCCTTCATGGAGCCGCCTGCGAACTGGAACTGGGGGCGACAGCGGTGAGGGAGAGGGAGCCTGGGACAGGGCCCCCCACAGCCCACGGCCCCCCACTGCCACACCGAGCTCCTCACCGGCATCATGATCACTGTGCCCGGGGGACCCCGGACTCCATCCATGCCGGGGATTCCTGGGAGGCCAGCGGGGCCCTGAGGGAGGGGAGAGAGGGAGAGGGAGGGCCGGAGAGCTCGAGTAAGTGGTGGGGACAGGGAGGGGAGAGGGAGAAGAAAAAAGAAGGGGGGAAAGGAGAGGAGAAGAGAGGAGGCAAGGGAGAGGGACACAGAAGAAAGACGGACACACCGTGTGAGCAGGGCACCAGCCCCCTAGGGACAGAAGAGGAGCGGTGACATTGCCGACAGGTGGGAGACACAGAGGAGGGGCTGGCCCAGCCCCTCAGCCCCCGTCCCGACTCCCACTCCCCATGTGGCCCGAACCCCTGCCAAGGGAACCCCAGGGAGTCTCTTACCGGTGGACCACGGTCCCCGGGGAATCCCGGGGGCCCAGAGGGGCCTGAGGGACCAGCTACCCCCTGTTGGGGATGGAGAAACAGCAGTCACAGGAAACCCAAAGGTTCAAGCCAGGCCACTTCCAGCCCACCTTGGCCCCTGACCGCTACACCCACCTCTGAGCCCCCCAGGACCCCCTGCTATACACAGACCCCATTGCCCCAACCCTACACCCCAACTCTTATTTTGACTCAATCTGTGAGTGTCAAAGGGCTTCCATGGGATCAGGAAACATGAAACCCCAACTCCCCAGCCCAGGGGCTCAAAGACACCCCAACGAGAAAAGAAAGACAGGAAGAGGGGACTGACAGCTGGGCGTGGTGGTGCACGCCTGTCATCCCACCACCGGGGAGACTGAGGCAGGAGGATCGCCACGAGTTGGAGGCCAGCCTGGGCTGTAGAGCGAGATCCTGTCTCAAACACCAAGGAGAGAGGACTGAGGCCCATACTCACCTGGGGTCCTGGGGCTCCTGGAGGTCCCTCAAATTTCTGCCCCTGTAGGGAAACAGGAGTGTGACCCCTGCTCCAGAGAGGCTCCGGGCCCTCACAGTCCCTGTCCCCTCACCTGTTCAATGACAGCAGGTTCACCCTTTGCTCCCTTCTCTCCCCTCTCTCCGGCACCCTAGGGGAAGAAGATGGAGAGAAAAATAAGAGCAGATTCTCAGCGGCCCAACTGGCACCCCCACGGGGTGCGCCCACACTGCACCCCTTCCTGTCTTTCCTTTAGCCATGGGGAAGCTCTGTCTCCAGCGTCACCCAACCCTGACACTGGCACAGCAAGGTGAAGGGCAGGACCAAGGCTGTCAATCAGGATCTGCCTCTCGCTGCAGGGTGTTGGAAATTTACTCAACCACTATGGCTGGTTACAGGGAACTGCTCTCTGGACAGCCCCCAGGTGATCCATGAGTGTCTGTGTCCCACAGGAAGAGGAGTGAGTTAAAGTAGAGCTTAGCAAGCTGGGCGTAGTGGTGCACGCCTGTCATCCCAGCACTGATCTTAGCCTTAAAAGGAGCCAGAGCCTTGTGAATCTCGAGAACAGAGTGTCATAGACTTTGTTTACAGGTCATAGCTCTCAGTTTTATGTGTACCAGAACAAGGAGTTACAGCTACAGGGGAGCAGCGGGGAGCGGGGCGGGGGGGTGCCCAAGGCTGGGAGAACTTGTTTTCGTTTAAGTCCTGCTTCAGAACTACATAGCAAGATCCTGTCTCAAAAAACCAAAATCAAGGGCCGTGGACTTAGCTCAGTGGTTCTGGCGCCTGTCTCACAAGCACAAGGTCCCGAGTTCAATCCCTGGGACCAAAAAACCCAAAATCAAAACAAAACAAAACCAGAGCTTGGCACAGAATAAGCACTCAGAGTTCATTATAATTCTTTACCTCCTCCTCTGTCCCATATGGAGGCTGGGAGCCAGGTCCCCTTCTCTGCCTTTCTTTCTTTCTTTCTTTCTTTCTTTCTTTCCAATACTGGGGATCGAACTCAAGGCCTTCACACCAAGCTACACTCCCAGTTTCTTATTTTGAGACAAGGTCTCACGAAGTCACTCAGGCTGAAACTGAACTTTCGATCCTCCTGCCTCAGCCTCCCACAGTGCTGGGAGGACCGGCACTTGTCACCACGCTGGGCTTGTGTTCTTCTTCTCCCTAAAGATACCACCTCTCTGCTGGGAGTCCTGTCTCCCTGAGGGCCAGACGCGCCCACCCGTCGCCAGCTGGACTTCTCCATTTGGATGTCAAACAGGGTTGCAAACTCATGACATCCCAGCTGCTTTCCTTGACTGTCCTTGGTGGCCTCTGAAGAAGCCGAGAGGACCGATTGTACTCATGGTCCCACCTTGTACTAACTTCTCTCCACCTGAAGCCACAAAACCGAAACAGTGAAGCTCAACTCCGTGCAACCCTCTCCCCTCTCGCGTACGCAGCAGGCTTCCCTGAGGCCTCTCTGGCTCCCCCTACTGTCCACATTGAGAGTTACGGGTCAAAGAAAGTTCCAACTCAGGGTGGCTTCTCATCCAGCCTAGACTGAAAGTCAAATAAGCATCACCCAGCCGACCGCACAGCCGCCCCGCAGCACTCGCTAAATCTCTGGCAAGTGCATTGGGCTTGAGGCAAGATAAACAGAGCCTAGAGAGAGAATGTCAAGCCAGGCCCAGTGGCTGTCATCCCAGCACTCTGGGTGGGTGAGGCAGGAGGATCCCAAGTTCAAACCCAGCCTGGGCAACTTAGCCATTTAGTGAAACCTCATCACAAAGAATAAAAAAAGAGCTGGGGGCCGGGGATTTAGCTCAGTGGTTCCGCCACCTGCCTCAAGAGTGCAAGGTCCTGAGTTCGATCCCCGGCACCAAAACAAAAGAGCTGAGGATGTCCCAGCCTTGCACCATCTCCAGCCCCCCAGACTCACAGGGAAGATCTGGAACTCAGTCTGAAAAGGCTGTTCTGCTGCCCGGAATTTTGGGCCCATGGTGGAGCCCCTTCCTTCTTCCTCCTCTCCGGCTGCCTCCACGTCTGGGGTTCTGAGCTGGGTTCCACCTTCAGGCTCCAGTTCCCCCTGAGACATTGAGACAGTCAAAATTTGTCCTTCCTGTCCACCACCACTGCCCCCCAGGGCCTTCTCCTTCCAATACCACCCACTTCCTCCCGACCTCTAGGACGGTGACGTTGTGGCCAAGGGTGACAGCAGAGGTGAGGACCACAGGCGTGGGAGTCGCAGGAGAGTTTGGAACAGGTGACTCGGGCTGGGGGACGTCAGTGGCAGCCTGGAGCGGGCGTGGGGGATGAATCAGGTCTGGGACAGGCCGATTGGGCAAAAAGGAGGCAAAGAGGAGCCTGAGCCCCAGGCTAGGGACCAGGCCGAGGATTCCAAAAACATGGAAGCCAGTGGAGGTTTAGGGTGGCTGCACCAAGGTTGGCCAGCAGGGGGAGCTGTTCTGCACGGAGGAGGAGCGGGGCCGGGCTGGGCCCCTGGGGCCTGCAAGGCTCAACCAGTTAGGCTCCGGAGCCTGGCGGTCAAGGTCAAGATCCAGCACCCGAGGCCAGACTTCTGGAAGCCTATCCCACAGGCCTCTCTCAAGGCAGAGTTCAGCGGCCAGGAGGCCAAGACGCAAACGCAGTCAGCTCCTCTGGCCTAGACAGCTGCGAAGGAACTGGGTCAGAGCAGAGAGGGGAGGAAGGCGGGGCCAGGTGAGGGGCGGGGCTGAGGGCGGGGCTGGGAGGACCAAGCTGCTCCTGGTATCCGCGTTTCCGACCAGAAAGACCTGGAACTGAGATCTAGTGCACCCAGCAACCTGTCCAAACCAGGGCCCCCAACCGATGACCCACCTCAAGGACCCCTTACCCAGTGACCACCAGCTAAGGACCCCACAGCAAACAACCCCAGCGACTCCCCGGAAGTGATTAACAATTCCCATCAATGGCCTCAACCACGTTCTTTTCCATCCAGCGACCTTCCCAGTTATTGACCCCAAACAGTGACATCCCCAACAGTGAGCATTCATTGGTGACTCAGGAGGACCAGGGGCCCCCTGATCAATTACTTCTCCAATCAGAGACCTTCCCACGGTGAGTATCCGCAAGTACCCCAAATAATGCTCCCAAACGAGGACCACCAGAGAATAATTCCACTAACCAGCGACTGGGCTCCTGACTAGCAACCCTTGGGGACCTCCAAACTAACAGCCCTTCCCCTGAACCCCTGAAAATCACTCCTCCAACTGGTGACCCCAGTCAGTGACCCCACTATGCATTGTAATGGTTCACCCACCAACAACTCTCCCAACTAAGGACCCACAACCATGAGCCCTAAACTGGAGACAGCAAATGTACCTTTCACAGTGACTCCCAATTAGAAACACCTCAAATATTGACCTCAATTAACATCTCCCTCAGTGATTCCCCCTACAATGGAGGCCCAATAATATCCCCAACTTGTGACTCCCCTGGGGAATAAACCTCATGAAAACCCAATCAAGGAACCCCAAACAATAACACCCTTTGATAATCAGGTGTGCTCATCTGAGGGTGACATCTCTTTCGAGCCCCCCAGGACCAGAAGTTGGAGGACAGACATGGAGTCTCCCGTAAGACAAAGCCAGCCTCCCACTCCTATATTCTGAGAGATGGCAGAACTCGAGGATCGGAGGCCGAGAACTGAGACTGTGGATGGGGGTCAGAGAGCTACGGAGTCAAGAGCAGAAGCCAGAGGTTGCTGGTTCCTTACCTGGCTCTCTGGGGACCCAGGAGGGGGACTGGGACTCAGGTTTTCCTTGTTCTTCTTCTTCCTGCCTTTCCCCTTTCGACCCTGCCCTTTTTTCTTTCCTTTTCCCTTGCCCTTTCGTCGAGGAGGAGGGGTCTCTGGGTCACCCTGGGGGTGCTGGGAAGAAGGAGCCAGTCAGGTCTAGGGCGTCCCCCTTCCCCTACCCTGGGCTGGCACAGGTGACTGGTTGTCACTCACCCCTGTGGCCGTGGGACCTGGGCTGTCACAGCCAGGCAGGTACTGGTCACAGGCCTGGAAGGCGGCCTGAGGGTCTGGGCTGATCAGCAGCTCCTGGACATCTCCCTGGAGAGAGCAGGGACAGGGGAGGGGACCCCAGGCTGAGTCTGACCCCAGCCCCCTCCTGCCAGGTCCCTGCCTGGCTCCTGGCAGGGAGCCTTGGTTTTTCTCCACCCCGAGCACCCTAAGAACCAGGAAGCGGTGGCCCGGTCACATCTACCCCTAAAATTCAGAGAAGGACGGATCTTATCAGGCTCTCTCACTGGAGCAGCCACACACAACACCAACCTCTGTCTCACCCACGCAGCCTCGTGTCAAGTGGCCTTCGAGGCCCGGGGCCTCAGGAGGGGGACAGGAGAGACACGGGCCCTGGCCCCATGGAGGTGCCGCACCTCACTACTATCCACAGCACGGCCACCAGCGACAGTCACCACACCACACACACATTCATCACCCAGCCACACAACACTGCCTTTGTGGCCTTCAGGGTCTGGGCTCCACGACGCAACTACAGCACCCACTGATTCAAGCTGTGGACCAAACAGCCCACCCTCTGCCTCAGTTTACCCCCCACTCCTACCTCAAAAGTCTCCTCTTCGATATCCTGGGTCCCCAGCACAGTGAGGCCAGAGGTGCTGATGGACCAAGGTCCTCGGCTGAACAGAGGAGGCTGAGCCTCACAGTCAGCCACCAGTGTCACCATGTCACCATCTACACTGACGGCCAGGCGATGCCACCTGCCAAGAGATGGCCTCAGTGTGCGTATTTCTCGGTCGCCCCTTGGGGGACCCATGTCCACTCCTCCTATGCCACTCACCTGCCATCCGCCAGGTTGGCCTGCTGGGGAAGGGGACTGAAGGTGTGGCCGAGGAGCCCCGGCGTGGGCCCTAGCGCCAGGCCCAGCTGCCGGGTGCCCTTCTCGTCATAGACAGAGAGGAGGACAGACTGGTTGGCCACCTGGGCCCGTAGAGTGACCAGCACCGAGAAGTTCACGGGAAAGTGCCCATCTGGGGGGACAGAGGCCATGGGCCAGCTCAGGTGGCCCAGGGGTGACCCACATGCCCTCCACAGAGACACCCTGCCCCTGCCACCCACACTCACCAGGAAAGAGCTCCCTCGTGGGGACACTGGGTGTGCTGGCCTTGCCCACTCTGAATGCCCGGTCACCCTCGGGAGCCCGCTGGGGGCACAAGCCAGGCCCCTGGGGGACCCCCGCCTGGTCCCCACGCACACCCAGGACCTTGAGGACATCCACAGGGTCCCCTGCAGAGAGAAGCAGGATGGGGAGGGACGGCAGTGAGAAGAAGCCAGGACTCCATGGTCGTGGCGTGGGTTCGGGGCCCCTGTCCTCCCCCCGAGGGTTTATGGGTCAGGAAGAAGGCACCGGCCTGGGACAGGCACCCGCACCTCACCACCCCACAGATGTTCCGGCCATTTAGTCTGTTGGCTCCTGCTGGGGTTTTTTCCCCCTTGGTTTTTGGTGAGAAAAAAATCTGACCTAGTTCTAGGATGAATCATTGCTTCCTGGCTGGAGCCCCAGAGCTGAACTTCTCCCCTCTCCCTGACTCCTCCGCAAGGGCTCCCTGGGGCCCCTTCCCAGCCTGAGCCCCTTCCAGGGGAAACCCATGTGGAAAGGGAGGTCCTGGGTGCTGCTCCCCACATCCGCCTCTGGACCTCCAGTTTCCATGAACCTCTCCCTCCGACCACTGCCTCTTCCAGCTCCTCTTTTAGCACCGGTTTTTAATTTTGATTACTCCGGGCAGTACACGATGATTGCATTCCTCGTGGGGAGTTGGTCCATGTACACAACACATCTGAATTCCTCTTTTATCCCTTCCTCCCTCCATCTATTGACCCCCTTCCCTTTTGGAAAATATCTATCTCCCTATTTCCTCTTCTCTTTTCTTTTGCCCTTTATTAGAACTTAGGTTTTTCATATAAGAGAAACGATGTGAAATTTCAACTTGCATGGCTGATTTATTTCACTTAACGCTGTGGTCTCAAGGTGCACCGATTTTGCTACCTATGACTGAAGCGATCCTTCTTCATGGCAGAGTAGTACTCCCTGGGGGACAAATGCCACACTTTGTTTATCCATTCATCTGCTGGTGGACACTGTCCTTTGGCCATAACCCATGACCTCTTCCCCCTCTTATCTTCTCCTTCTGATGACCCCTGACCTCCTCTCTGTCTCTCCCAGCCTCCTCCATGTGACCCCTGGACCCCCCTTGTTCCCCCTCTCCCTGACCTCCTCTTTCAGATCCCCACTCTCTGATAACCTTGGCCTACCCCCTCCAACTCTCTCCCTCTTTCCTCTCCATGAACCAAGGACCCAGCCTGGCCCAACCCAGACCCAATCCAGGCCCTCGTCCCAGCCCCACCCCTGGCAGCCTGGCCAGTGTTAAGCGGAACCACATGGCTCCGCTCCCCTCCCTCACCGGCCGGCCGCCCCACTGACCCCCTGACCCAGCCTCTTGGCGAGAGCCGGCTTCCCCAGAATCTGCCATGACCTCACCCCTGGGGTGGCTCTGAGGACCTCACCCCTGGGAACCGGAGGAGGCCGGACTTGGGGGGAGCAGCTCGGAGGAAGCCCTTCTGCCAACTCCACAGAGCCCCCTTCCAGCCCCAGCACCTCCAGCATCTTCCTCTTTTCTCTGCTCTCTTCCCTCCTGATCTTTGGACGGCTTGGTCCAGCCCTCAATCAATCAATCAACCAACCAATCAATCAGTTGATCTCATCAGCTGCCTGTCTCCTGGTATTTGGTTGTTTTCCCATCCCCGGCTCTCTGCACATCTGGGTGTAGATGCCCCTCCCTCTCCCTCACCCTCTCTCCTACCCGTCTCTAATTGCCTGTTCTGTGTCTGTGTCTTCATAGTCATTAAGAGCATTTGGGTTACAGCCCCTGGGGCCGAGATCCAGGCTCTCAGGCCCCACTGACCACAAGGCCATTCCCCATGGAACATTCATCCCAGCTGTCCCCTCTCCGGGCCAGTCCCAGGGGAGAACTAATGTCCATAGTGATGGCCACACCCAGATTGCCCTCCCCAGCCTGGACCCCAGCCTCCCCAAGTGAGAAGGGGTCTCTCCCAGCCAAAGCCCTTCCTGGCATCCGACCCAGAGGACTCCAGCTTCAGTGTGCGTCCCTTCTGAAGTGACCTTTCAGAAACTGACTGCCCTTTCTTCCCAAGGCTGGCCTGGTGACAAGGACACACACAAGAAGCATTGAGCCCTGGCCACAGGACGGGAGGCAGGGGTCTGTCAGGGACCCGGCCCGCGCTCCCCCCCACACCCCCTCTTCCCTGTGCTGGTCAAGGCCGGGGAGACAGCGAGAGATGTGGGGAGACCTCTCAGGTGTCCAGGAGGGTGTAGGTGTGAGGGAGTGTGTGTGTGTGTGTGTGTGTGTGTGTGTGAGAGAGAGAGAGAGAGACAGACAGACAGACAGACAGACTGGGTGAGTGTGGGGGACTGAGTGGGCCAGGGAATGGCCAGGCAAGTCATTTTTGTTTTTGTTTTTTGGTTTTCTTTTTCTGTTTTCTTGAGACAGGCTCTCGCTACGTAGTTTGGGCTGGCCTTGAACTCACTAAGCAGCCCAGGCTGGCCTCAAGCATACAGCAATCCTCCTACCTGAGCCTCCAGACAAGCATTTCATGAGATGTCAATGTGTGCAGACATCTGCCCGCGATGGCGGGATTAGGGGCCATCGTGTGCCACTTCCTGCATGTCCCAGCCTGGAGCTGATCACCCTGTTGGTCATACGAGTTAGTCTGGGGCTGGAAAAGCTCAGACATGTGACAGGGAATGTGGTTCTCCACACAGAAACTTCTGCCACACAGCTTCTGGGACAGTGTGACCAAGCCGGCCAGTGGGCGAGTGGTCGTGTTGACCACAGGAAAGCATGTCTGAAGATCTGAAAGCGTGGGAGGCTGACAGCAGCCGCGGGGTGCTGCCGGGGTACCTAGGCGTGGCCACTGTGTTTGAATTCCTACTGGGGTGGGGGGGCTGCTCTTCTGAGACCGGAGGATCAGGAGTGTGGGAACGGAGTACAGGCCAATCCGGGAGGACCCAGGCGGCCTAGCCTGGGGTTCCCCAGGTCAAAGAAGCCCTGATCATTCCCCACTTCAGGACCTACAGCCTCCCCCCAACTCCTGGGGAGCCCCCCACCCCAAACCCTACGGGGCGTGGCCGGGCGCCTAGCCAGATGCGCACAGCTGGGCATGCGTCAGCGCTGAGTCACCCGTCCCGCGGCCCCCGGGACCCCTGGGGGGCCCCTGAGAAATTCCTCGGGAAACACACCCCAGGCTTGCGCAGCTGGGGTGGGGAGCAGCTTGCGTGCACCCCGCCGCCCCCGGCCCGCTCCGCCCCACCGCGCCCTCCCGAGGCGCTGTCCGTGGTGCTGATCGGCTCTGGGGAGCGCTGAGGGGCGGGGCGAGGTGGGGGAGGGGAGGGTGGGTGAAGCAGGGGAGGGGCCCAAAGGGAGCTGTGGGCCCCAGTTTATCTCCCACACTCACCCCTGCTCACCAGCAAGCTTAGAATCAGTCACTCATATCTTCTCGGGCCGTACTTTACACCCCAAAATCACAACTACAGTCCTCATAGGGTCACTCAGAAATGCACACAATCACTATCTTTTTTTTTTTTTTTTGGTACCGGGGATCAAACTCGGGGCCTTGCGCTTGCGAGACAGGCGGCAGAACCACTGAGCTAAATCCCCGGCCCGTCTCTTTTGTTTCTGGAGACAGGGTCTCACTATGTAGTTCACGCTGACTTTGAACTCATTATATGGCCCTGGTTGAACTCATTATACAGCCCTATAGAACTCGTGGTGATCCTCCTGCCTCAGCCTCCCGAGCGCTGGGACGACAGGCATGCATCACGACACCTAGCTACAATCACATCTGCAACACATGTGCACACATGTGCACACAGAAACGAGGTCATTCTCACAACCATCCCCAGGGGCTGGGGGTGTAGCTCAGTGATAGAGCCGCTTGCTTACCATAGTTGGGTTCAAATCCCAACATTAGAAAAAAAAAATAGAGTTGCATAGCTCTCAATGAGGCTTGTGAGGCCTAAGCAGCCCAGTTGAAAGTTTATTCCTTTTGCTTGTTTGGTTTGGTTTTTTGAGACAGGATTGTTGGGATGACAGGCGTGCACCACTGCTGTCGGCTTGGCAGTTCATCGTATAAAAGCTCAGCTCCAGACACGGTGCGCACATCTCAGACACACCTTCCGGGCCCACCCGGGTCTGCGTCCTCACATCCACGCACACACTCGATGCCGCTCTTTCAGCTGCACGAGCCAGCACCCCTGCCAAATTACCCTCCTTTTCATGCACCTGCCAGGAAACAGTCCGGTTTCCCAGGACCCCCGCCCCCGTCATGCCCACAAACTGGCCAGAGTGGGACAGAGTCCCCACAGCATGCACGGCCCATTGCACACACCCCATTCCCTACGCTACCCCGTCTCTGGGGTCCCACAGGGTCCTGTACCCCGAGGCCTGTGCCCTCCCTCCCGGCTCACCGGCCTGCGTGGCGGGCAGAAGCTGCAGGGCGGCCAGGAGCAGGCAGAGGCCGGCCCGCGGCTGGCGCAGGCCCGGGCGGCTCCTCATCCCGGGGAGGCCGGTCTGCTACGAGGGCGCCCGCACAGGATGGTTGTGGGGCTCGGCGACTCCCGGGCTCGGCGCAGCGCTGGTGGCGGCCGGCTGCAGTGGGGATCAGCAGAAAGTAACTGAGCTCCCGCCCCGGCCGCGCCCTGAGCTGCAGCCCGGGACGGGCGGGGCCGGGGGGGGGGGAGCACTGACAGCTGGAGGGGAAGTTGGGAGAGTTGCGCCGCACGCTGATTGGCCGGCGGGGGCGGAGCCTGCGCCAGGACCTGGGCAGTTCTCACCCTACCCGTCCGAGAGGGGTTTCCCCACCCTGCCCTAGACTCGGGGTCCCGGCCTCACCCCAAACCCGTTTCTCTTAGCAGGCCCTGAGAGGAGACTTACTCAGCTTCATTTAATCCTTCAGCCTCCTTAGTGCTTGGTGGCACACGGCTGTCATCCCAGGACTTTGGAGGCCGAGGCAGGAAGATCACCTTGATTGTTTTGTTTTGGTTTTTTGTTTTTGTTTTTGTTTTTTTGGTACTAGGGATCGAACTTGGGACCTGGCCCTTGCAAGGCAGGGGCCAGAACCACTGAGCTAAATCCCCGGCCCAGGAGGATTGCCTTGAGTTCAAGGCCAGCTGGGTCTACATAGGGAGGCCCTGTCTCAAAATACCAAAACCCAAAACATAACAAAACAAAACAAAAAATGCCTTCAGCCTCCATCTGGGGGCTGAGATCCGGGGAAGGAACAGCTTTATACCAAATCCTTTCAACTTCTCAAAAGGGAGGTCCCCAGCCTCACCCCTCATCCACCTGCCTTGCCCCCTGTTCCTTAGCCCAAGTCTTCATCCCCCTTAAGACCTCACCCCAGGTCCTCAAATTGGGTTTTTAGCCTCATCCTAAACCTTCACCTCTCTGCCCAAGTTGGGTGTCCTGTGTACCACTCCCAAATTTTGATCACAGATTCCAAAACAGTTTCTTTTCTTGTTTTGTTTGTTTGTTTGAGACAGAGTCTCCCCATGTAGTTCAAACTGGACTTGAACTCACAGTGATCCTCCTGCCTCAGCCTCCCAAGTGCAGGGATGACAGATGTGTGCCACCATGCCCAGTCTTTCTTCCAAATTCTTAATCCTCAGATAAAGGATCCCACCTGTGTCGATAGCCCTTAACTCTCTCACTCCGGGGTACACTAGCCCCAACCCTAAATCTTCATCCCTTCCCATCAAATAGAGAAGTGAATTTCTACTGCTCTTGGGGTGAAGCCAAGGCTCCCCAGTGTGAAGGCCCCTGGGGTCAGGAACTGCTCCTGCACCACTGGACGAGCACAGACAGGCAGGTGAGAGGGCGGAGCTGAGGGTGTGTCCGGCCCTGAGCTGCCCTCCTCCCAGCCTCCCTGCCTAGACAAAGCATCCCTGTGTCCTCTGAGAGGAGGGGTGGAGCCCATCTGGCCTGAGGACAATGGGGGTCCTGCAGAGGGGGAGGAGTGAGCATGCCCCAAGCATCCCAACCCCCCTTCCTAAGGATGGGGAGCCCAGACTTCCCCAACCCAGAGTCTCTGCAAGTTCTCCCTGTGGTCTTACTGTCTCACAGCAATCCTCCTGCCTCAGCCTCCAGAGTACTGGGATGGCAGGCATGTGCCACCACGCCTGGCTAAAAGTTTGGGGTGTTTTTTTTGGTACTGGGGATCGAACTCAGGTCCTTGCGCTTGCGCAGCAGGCAGCGAAACCACTGAGCTAAATCCCCGGCCCCAATTCAGTCTTTTTTTTTTTTTTGGTACGGGGAAGTTTGGGTTTTTTCTTTGGTTTCATGTTCTGCAGTGCTGGATGCATGCATGCTGAATGATCCCTTGAGATGCAGCCCACCCTCCAAGAAGAAATGCTTGACCACTGAAGAAGGTGGGGTGTAAGGGCTTAAGGGCTTCTCCTCAGTCCCCTCTTCAGATCCAACCCCAGGGTCCTGGCTCCCTACAGCAGATAGGGGGAGGGAGCAGAGGAGGGAGAGGAGGAGCCCAGGAGGGATGGGGTGGTGACTGGCACCAGGACAGGATCAACATGGCCTCCTCGCCCCGGACCGTGCTGATCTCGGGCTGTTCCTCTGGCCTCGGCCTGGAGCTCGCTGTGCAGCTGGCTTGGGACCCCAGGAAGCGCTACCAGGGTAAAGCCACCGGAGATGGCGGGGAGGGGCCAGCACACCTGCCAGCTGCCTTGTGGGCTGGGGAGGACCCAGGAACCCTGGAGGTAGCGCCCTTTCCACTTCTCCCCCTAGGAGTCAAATATTTCTTCAGCAAATGCTGGGTGCAGGCTCTGCTCTGGGTGCTGGAGACACAGCTGCGAAAAAAAGAAAGGAAAATCTCAGGACTGGGGGCCTAGCTCAGGGGTAGATTGCTTGCCCAGCATGTGTGAGGAGGGCCCAGGCTCAGTGGAAAATCAAAATCCCTGAGCTAGCCATGATGGCCCACACCTGTGAGCCCAGCACTGTGGGGCCTGAGACAAGAGGCTCCCTACAAGTCTGAGGCCAACCTGGGTTGATTTTTAGAAGCACTGATGGAGGAAGATTTCTCCTAGGTTTGAAATCGGTATCCCAAGGGCGGAATATCGCCCACGGACACTCCTGCTGCCTCCAGGCCCCAGATTACTGCTCCAGATAAGCCTCTTACTTGGGCTCTGACCTTAGGGCTTATAGGAACCTCTAGGTTTGTTCTTAAACCCTGGAGTAGATTGCTGCAAACTGCACCCCCATGGGAACCCCTGACCCAGAGCAGCCTCAGTGGAAATGGGCAAAGGGTTGTTACTGAACAGGAGGCTGCTGGGACAAGGGCAGTGCCCCAGTTGGCAGGATCAGTTCTCTAGCCCTCTGCCCACAGCTGAGTGTGAAAACCTCAACCCCAGCATGCAGAGTTGTATCCCATTTTTGGGCAGATGGGTGCATAAAACTGCTAAAGTAGACCAAGTCAGGAGCATGGCCATGAGGTAGAGGCCAGCCTGGACTACATATTGAGACTGTGTCTCAAAAAAAAAACTACCGAAAAAAACTTAAATAGTAATTTGGATTTTTTTTGGTTGTTTATTGTTTTGCTTTAATTTTTTTTTTCTGCAGTACTGGAGGTTGAACCCAGAGCCTTCCCAGGAAGTTACATCCCCAGGCCTTTTTTTAAAACTTAATTTTGTAACAGGGTCTTGCTAAGTCACCCAGGTAGGGTTGGAACTTGAGGTCTTCCTGCCTCAGCCTCCCAGAGTGGCTAGGATTAGAGGGGTGCACCATTACACCAGGTTTGCCTCATTTTAGAAATGAGGAAATTGATACACAGAGATCCTCACACAGGGTCACCAGCTGGAAAGTGGCAGAGCTGGGATTTGAACTGGGGAGACTGAGAAACTGGGCCCACTCCTGTCACCATAACCCCCAGTACATATGAGTGATTGTGGGCACACAAACGTAGAGATGTGCACACGTATAGATGGTGTGTACACTGACGCTGTGCATAAAGTATACATGGGGGGGCAGTGGCACACGCCTGTAATCCCAGCACTAAAGAGGCTGAAGCAGGAAGATCACAGTGAGTTTAAGGACAGCCTGGGCTACATAGTGAGCTCAAGACCAGCCTGAACTTCATGGTGAGACCCCGTTTCAAAAAATAAAATAAAATAGAAATAAATTTTAAAACCATACAGGGGAAAGGAATCTCGTGTCTACCCCAGTTCTGCTTCTGTTTCCAGTGGTGGCCACTATGAGGGACCTGGGAAAAAAGGAGATGCTGGAGGTGGCTGCAGGAGAGACCCTGGGGAAGACACTCACTGTGGCCCAGCTGGACGTGTGTGATGATGCGTCTGTGGCCCAGTGTCTGAGCCACATCGAGGGCGGGGATGTGGATGTGCTGGGTGAGACTATAGCCCTGGGGTCCCCCACCCTCTCATGGGTCCACGTCTAGAGCCTAAGGTGGTGAGGCCTGAGCATCAGCCTCCAACCTCCCCAGCCACCTCTGCCCCTGGCCAACAGGGTAGACCAGTTGTCCAGAGGATAAGGTAGACCAGTTGGTTCACTGAGGGTGACAGGGTTAATGGAAGAGATTTCTCACATACACAGAAAACCATATGCAGTAAGGAAATTGCTTTGGTGAGTCACTTGGGGGAGAGCAGGATGAAGTGGCAAGCCAGACTCCCTAAGCAGCTTCTGAGGAGGGTGAGTGTCACAGGGTTGATGCAATTTGGGGTCAGGGGTGAATTGCTCACGCATTACGGGGGGTGGGGGCAGGGGCGGCACTGCTTCTAGAGGTCTGTCCTTCCTTCAGGGCTGGGTATTCCTCTAACAAATGTTAAACTCTGTTAAAGCACCATCAAGGCTCTACTCGGAGCTAGGTGTGGTGGTGCACGCCTGTGGTCCCAGCACTCAGATGGCTGAGGCAGGAGGATCACCAGGAGTTTGAGGCCTGCTGGGGCTACATAGTGAGGTCAAGGCTGGCTTGAATTACCTAGCAAGATCCTGTCTCAAAAAACCAAATCAAATCCTCCATATGTGTTCCCAAGACACCCAGGACTTGAGTAGAGTTATTGGAGAGATGACAGTAGAAAGGCTGGGGGACTCCATAATAACATTCATCACCCCTTAGTGAATAATGCTGGCATGGGCCTGGTGGGGCCCCTGGAGGGGCTCAGCATCACCACCATGCAGAGCGTCTTTGACACCAACTTCTTCGGGGCTGTGCGTCTCGTCAAAGCAGTGCTTCCAGGCATGAAGAGGAGGAGAAAGGGCCACATCGTGGTGGTTAGCAGTGTCATGGGACTGCAAGGTGAGGCCCGGGGACCCACCACTAGAGATTCCCCCATGTCTGACCCTCCCCAGGGTGCCTGGATGGCAAATTGATCTGGGCTCCTTTGCCAGGTGAGCCTGGAGAACTCTGTTAAGATGGACTCTGAAGCTCAGACAAGAAAAGCTCTGGGGTAGATTAACTATGCCTGCTGTGGTATGAGAGTAGGTGGTGGTGGTCTGTGTGCCATCAACAAACAACCACACACCAGGATCAACCTCATTTCTGGACATCCCCAAAACACTCTCCCCACCAAATCCCAGAGAACCATCAGAACTTCTCCTGAAACTCCTTCTTCCCAGACATCCCCCAGACACAGCCCCCCTGAGATGTCTGGATTTAGGACCTGAGGCTCAGCAGGAAATAGACCAATGATAGATTCGTTATGTCTGATAGCAAGCTATACTGGGGCCACTATTTGCCATCCATGCTCCTGGATCTTTCCTCCTTGACATCTCCCCCCCCAAAAAATCCTCTTCCCTGCTGTCCATGCAGGTGTCATGTTTAACGATGTCTATGCAGCCTCCAAGTTTGCTCTGGAGGGGTTCTTTGAGAGCCTGGCCATCCAGCTGCTTCAGTTCAACATCTTGTGAGTTGGACACTTGGGCAGAGAGAGGACACAAGGGATGGTGATGGGGAAGTTGAGATAAGGGAGCCAGGCCATCGTGGTGGTGCACACCTATCCTTCCTGCCCTCAGAGGAGGCTGAGGCAAGACTGTCACTCTTCAAGATCAAGGTCAGCCTGGGCTATATAGTGAGTTCAAGGCCAGGCTGGAATACATAGGGACACCAGGTCTCAAAAAAGTAGTGGGGGTAGAAGCGAGTGGTGGGGTAAATTGAGGCAATGGATTGGGGTACCAGCCCTGGCCCCCATCCCCAGCATCTCCCTGGTGGAGCCAGGCCCGGTGGCCACTGACTTCGAGGGGAAGCTGCTGGCTCAGGTGTCCAAGGCTGAGTTCCCGGGCACTGACCCTGAGACCCTGGGCTACTTCCAAGACCTCTACCTCCCAGTCTCTTCTCAGCTCTCCTGCTCCGTGGGACAGAGCCCAAAGGATGTGGCAAAGGTGAGAGACCTGGACCCGGGGCTCAGGGACGCTGGGGGTGGGGGATTTCTGAGGTCCCAGCACTCAGGACTCCATCACACAGGCCATTGTCAAGATCATCAGTGCCACCCAGCCACCCCTACGCAGACAGACCAACACCCGCTACGTCCCACTGATGGTGCTCAAAGACCTGGACCCCTCTGGTCGCCTGTACGTGCGAATTGCCCACCATCTGCTCTTCCGCTGGCCTCGAATCCTGCACTTCAGCCTTCACTGCCTGGCCTGTGGCTGCCACCCAAACCGAGTGTGGCCTCGATGATCAGAGCCTCACTGGATCCTCCCCAGCCTTGAACAGCACTGGGGATGAAACTCAGGCCCTTCACACTGAACCACATCCCCCGACATTTTTGTATTTTTTGAGACAGAGTCCTGCTAAGTCACAAAGTTGTCCAAGCTGGGCTGGAACTTGAGATCCTACTCCCAGAGTGCTGAGATAACAGGCATGGGCTTCCACACCCTGCTAGCCAGGCACTCTTTGGTCCACACTCAACTCAACGAGCCATAGGGACTCTTGCTCCTTCATTCATAAATTCATTCAACAGCCCATTCATTCATAAAGTCATTCCGCCGATTCTGCTCACCTGTTCCGTACTTGGCATTCCTGAAATCTCAGCCCTTCTGTGGTCAGGGCTGCAGCAGAGAGAGGGACCCTGAGCAGGAAGCCAGAGCCGGTCGGGGAAGGCCCAGGGCAGACTTCCTGGAGGAAGGGGCTTTGTCTCCAATCTCAAAGAAGACAGACAAATTCTACTTCATCCAACCGCAGGACCTCACAGCCTGAGCCAGGAATGCAGGGATGATGGACACTCAGCTCCCCACATCACACCCAGAGTGGACCCAGGGGTCAAAAGTTTCCTGGTCAGGGCCGAGGATTTAGCTCAGTGATTCTACCTCCTGCCTCGCAAACGCAAGGACCCGAGTTCGATCCCCGGTACCAAAAAAAAAAAAAAGTTTCCTGGTCACAAACCAGAGAGCAAGATGTGCTGCACACCAGCAATGCATATCCATTGTTCCAGGAAATACGAGTGGTAGTAATGATAAATACATAATAAAATGGAATCTCTCCTCCTCCTTCTTCTCCTCCTACGTGTGTGTGTGTGTATGGTTCTGGGACTGAACCTAGGGCCTTCGCAATGAGCTCCATCCCCAGCCCTTTTAAAATTTTTTATTTTGAGACAGGGTCTCACTAAGTTCCTAAGTTGCCTAGATTGGACTCAAATTTGCCATCCTCCTGCTTCAGCCTTCCCGAGTGCTGGGATGACAGGTGTGCTCCACCACACCCAGTTTGCCAATATAATTTTGACATTATATTTCTGAATGTGTGGACACAGGGCCCCAGATGCAGAGGGCTGACTACAGGAAATTAGATTAGTGGCAGTGGTGGCAAAACCCTGTGAATTTTCTTAAAACCCTCAGAAATGGGTGCTCTAAGATGGCAAATGATGTGGTGAAAATTAATGATGAATTATAGCTTCATAAAAATTCAATTTTTTGAAATAATAACACATCCACGATCACCCCAGGAGCCCATCCTGTGAACTGCAGTTTCCTTGTCCTTTGGCTTCAGTCATGTGGGATTATGCCAGTGGGAGGATCTCTTTGGATATTTTTGTCTTGTTTTTTTTTGGTACCAGGGATCGAACTTGGGACCTTGAGCTTACGAGGCGGGCACCAGAACCACTGAGCTAAATCCCCAGCCCTGTCTTGTTTTGTTGAGACAGGATCTCACTACATAGCCCAGGCTGGCCTCGAACTCACAGCGATCCTCCTGCCTCAGCCTCCCCAGTGTTGGTATGACAGGTGTGTGCACCATCACACCTGCCTTTCTTAGAACGCTTATGTTTTGTTCACAGCTCCAGTGTGCTGGGCAGTGCTGTAGGCCAAGCAGAGACTGAAGAAAATAAGCAGAGATGGCTTATGAGAAAGGAAGTTTATTAAAATATCCACAGCACTGGATGTGGTGGTTTATGCTTGTAATCCCAGCACTCTAGGAGGCTGAGGCAGGAGGATGGCAAGTTTGAGCCGAGCCTGGGCACTTAGCAACTTAGTGAGACCCTGTCTCAAAATAAAAAATAAAAAGGGCTGGGGGTGGAGTTCGTGCTGGCATGCAATGTTCCGGACTGGACACAGAAGGGATGCCTTGGGGACTTGGGCTAAATGTCCCGGCCTTTCCCAGGGATAATACAGTTTCTGTTGCTAAAATGAAATACTGATGCTGAGGGATTTGGAAAGAAAAGGTTTGTTTAGCTTAGAGTCCTACAGGTCCAAGTCATAGCATCATTTGCTAATGATTTTTTTAAATTTTCTTCTTTTTTTTGGTACTGAGATAGAACTCGGGACCTTGCACTTTCGAGGCAGGTGGTGGAATCACTGAACTAAATCCCCAGCTTTTATTTTTTGTTTTTGTGTTTTGTTTTGTTTGTTTGTTTGGTTTTGGTACTGGGGATCAAACTCAGGACCTTGCACTTTCAAAACAGGCACAGAGCCACTGAGCTACATCCCTGGCCCTTTAATATTTGTTTTTTGGAGGGTTTTTTGGTACTAGGGATCAAACTCGGGTCCTTGTGCTTAATATCTGCTTTTATTAGCACATGTTTGTAGTACATAATAATCACATTCTTCTTGAGAAGCTGGTGCATGGACATAAGGCATCTTAATTCTTTTTACTTCCCCTTCTCTTGCCTCCCCCTTCCCCTCTAGCTCTTGATCCCCTTCCCATTTCCAAAAGATCTTATCTCCTTGTTTCCTATTATCTATCTTTTATTTTGTTCTTTGCGTTTCTTTGTTACTGTTCTTTGTTACTTTGCATTTCTCGTATAAGAGAAACCATACAATATTTAAACTTGTGTGTCTGATTTATTTCACATTATGGTCTCAAGGTGCATCCATTTTCCTACATATGGTTCAAGTTTATCCATCTTTTTTTTTTTTTTTTTTGGTACCGGGGATCGAACTCGGGACCTTGTGCTTGCGAGGCAGGCACTGGAACCACTAAGCTAAATCCCCGGCCCAAGTTTATCCATCTTCATGGCAGAGTAGTACTCCACCATGTTTAAATACATTGTCTTTATCCATTCATCTATTGATAGACACACAGGTCACTTTTGAGGTATTGCTAACATGAGTTGTGCTGCTATAAACTTCTTTCTTTCTTTTTTTTTTGGTACCGGGGATTGAACTCAGGACCTTGCACTTGTGAGGCAGGCACCGGAACCACTGAGCTAAATCCCTGGCCCCTATAAACTTCTGTGTGCATGGATCACAGGGTCAGTCCCTGATCACACAAGGACTTCATGGCAAGTAGCATCACCATGGCCAATGTTACCGGGTAGGGTAGTGCATGCCTGTAATCCCAGCATTCAGCATTGAGGCAGAAGGATTGCAATGAGTTCTTTTTTTGGGGGTACCGGGGATCAAACTCAGGACCTTGCACTTGCAAGGCAGGCACAGGAACCACTGAGCTAAATCCCCGGCCCTGCAATCAGTTCTTGAGGCCACCCTGAACTACATAGCAAGACCCTATCTCAAAAACAAAAAACAAAACAAAAAAATCCCTAAAACCAAAATTAGTTAAACGTGGGCATTGGTGGGTGGGTGATTCAAGCAAGGCTTTCCCACCATCTCGAATTCCTGTCTGGTTCCCGTCAGTTTCCTAAGGCCAGCCGACCCATGAATTCCTCTTGCTTAAATCACCCTGAGTCAAGTCCTGGTGCACGGGAAGATTCCTCCCGGTGACTATGAAAACAAGCCTCGGGGGTGGGGGGAGAGCTGCTTCTCAGCTGCAGCCCACAGATGGGCAGACAACTCTGGGTTCCAGGATACGGTACCCAGCACGGCCTTGCTCCCAGCTCAGCAAAGGCACGGCCTCCTCCTCCTGGTCTCTGAGGCGGGGATCACCTCCAGTTCATGTCCATGCACCTCACAGCTAAGGGCTCTCTCTCTCTCTCTCTCTCAAGCATGCTAAGTACGTGTTCTACCACTGAGCTACAGCCCCAGCCTCTTTCTGTTGTTTAAACCTTGAAGTTATTCTATCAGGATATGCTCTTTACTTGACCTGTGAAATGTATCCAGCACTGTAGGGCACGGTGGTACACACCTGTCATCCCAGCACCTAGGAGGCTGAGGCAAGAGGATTGTATGAGTTTGAGGCCAGCCTGGACTACACAGCTAGACCCTGTCTCAAAACATGAAATTAAGTTAATTTTTTTTTTTTAATGAAGACACATATAGTGGGTAGTCCTAGCACTTTGGGAGGCTGAGACTGGAGGATCACTGTGAGTTCAAGACCAGCCTGAACTACATGGTGAGAACCTGTCTCAAAAATAAAGAAAAAATGGGGCTGGGGATTCAGCTCAGTAGTTCCGGTGCCTGCCTTGAAAGTGCAAGGTCCCAAGTTCGATCCCCAGTACCAAAAAAAAACCAAAACGAAACAAACAAAAATAAAGAAAAAATAATGAAATTTTAAAAGAAAACAAAATTTAGAAATGGTTAAAGTGGCAAAGTTTATTTTATGTCATGTTCTATCACAATTTTTAAAACAAGCAGGTATGGAAAAAACAGCATAGTCTTTTCCTCCTAAAAGCAGACACTATACGCATATTTTGAACTTTAGGTATTTTCTTGAAATCTATACCTCGGAGAGTTTTCTATATCAACTCACACAGATATCCTCATTCTTTGGCAAACCTGCAATCTATTCCAGTAGTAGAGGAACAATAATTCATGTAATGGGTCCGCTACTGAAGGCCAGCTGGGCTTCTCCCAGGCCTTTTGCTAGTACGAAACAGCTGCTGGGAGCAACGCCAAGTGCACACACCATGCATGGTAGGGAAAGAGAGTACTTTGCTTGGCTCAATGCGTTCGTGATTCTTATCAACAGTATCGAGATCATCTCTGTCCCATAGGACCAACCTCCACATGTAAGCCAGCTGTTTCTCTACACCCCCAAGCACACGCTCTGTCCTCGGCCCTCTAAGTGTACACATGCCTACTGGATCCAAAGTGGTATCTCAGCCGGGCGTGGTGGTGCATGCCTGTCATCCCACCACTCAGGAGGCTGAGGCAGGAGGATCACTGTGAGTTCAAGGCCAGTCTGGACTGCATAGTGAGACTCTGACTCCAAAAAAAAATTCTTTGATACCTCACTGTGGTTTTAACTTATTAGGAGTGATGCTGAATCTTCGTATATAGTAGAAACTTTTGTGTTTCATTTGTGTGGACATTCTGATACCACATCTTTGCATAATCAGTATCCTGTTGGCCTGTTGATAATGTTACTGTTAATTTTTAGCAACTTTCCTTTTTCCAGTACTGAGGATTGAACCTGAGGCCTTTGCAATTAGTTACCTATCCAGTCCTTTTTATTTTTGATTTTGAGACAGGGTCTCACTAGATTGCCCAGGCTGGGCTCAAACTTGGGATCCTCCTGCCTCAGCCTCCAGAGTGCTGGGATTACAGGTGTGTGGTTCCACCATACTTTCAGATCCCTGAGGTCCAGGTATTAGGCACTCACCTCCAATTGTGGCTACTGGGTTATTCCCTGCTCTTAGCCCTGGCTTCACTTGAAAATTCTTACCTCAGTGAGGTGGGGATCAGTGTCCTCGGGGATCAGGAAGCAGGGCCAGGTTCTGAAGCCTTGGGGAGGACAAACCGGGTGACCAGAAGCCCTGGGGGACTGAGGAAAGAACCAAAGAACCCAAGCAGTGACCACAGGGCACATCCTGGCAGTACCACCTGCACTGAGAGCTCCTGCTGCCTCCCACCTGGGGAAACAGCACCTCAGCCCAGCACGACAGCGCATGGCTGTCATCCCAGCACTGTGGGAGGCTGAGTCAGGAGGATGGCAAGTTCGAGGTCAGCCTGGGCAACTTACTGACTTACCAAGACCTTGTCTCAAAATAAAAAATAGGGCCGGGGATTTAGCTCAGTGGTTTCGCCGCCTGCTGCGCAAGCGCAAGGACTCAAGTTCCATCCCCGGTACCAAAAGAATAAATAAATAAATAATAAAAAGGGGCCAGGGATGGAGCTCAGTGCGAAGGCCCTGGGTTCCATCCTAGTACTGCAGAAAACAG